ATTGTTGGGGTCATCAATAGCTCCTCCTTTGTGGAGAGGTATCACTATCGCAGACTTCAAGCTGACTTTCGATCGCATCTCTACTGTCCGAATGATTACACAAATGCATATTTCCGTTGCAATAATGAACAATGATGAGATATCTTGAAACAATTTCGTTTTTTTTTTTTCGATCGCGTCAATAATTTCAGAGAGGTATTTTTTTATCATTATATCTCTATAATCGATTATTCAAAATTAATTCTCAATTGCCCCATATCCCCTCGTTCATAAGAATATTTTTCCCATCCTGAAGATACGAGGCGCATCGAAACACCATCATTAAGAATTTAGAATCTCAATTGTAATCGGTCCTTATGTTTTATTGATTCTGATTCATCAAAATTCGAATAGCAGAAGTGAGTTTTGTGATATTCTAATTATTGTGCGTTTATAAGGAGTATAAATCTGTTTTAGAATTTCCAAGACAATTTCTATCCTTTTTGGTTAACTGTCGACATGAGTTCCATTGTAACATTTTGTATATCATATCGAAACCAACAAGGACCAAAAAAGAACTATCGTTTCTTGCATGAACCACTTCTCTGCAAGCGAATATATTGTGTTCAGATCGTATTTGCAGTCGTAAAGTACACATTGAAAAATACCTAGGCTAACGTCACCTGAATTGGCAAATATAGCCAGATGATGGAATGATGATTTTTCCATTAGAAGAATCGCAGACATGATAATTTCCTCCGAACTGCTGCTCGTCGGGACAGGACCAGTACTGGTCGACAGATAAACAATTCCTTGAGGGCCGCAACAGGAGTAAAAATATCTGTTGAAACTGTCCGAAGACGATTGCACGAAAGCGGTTTCAGATCCAGGAGACGAGCTGCGTCGTTACCACCGATACAACAAGGTCAGCAGACTCTGACGTAAACAGCTCGTGACGTCACCAAGAGAGGCCAGTGTTTTATTTTATCGCTTGTCGACTAACGCGTCAGTTCGTGTTAATTCATCGGTGATTCACGTATGTTTTTGAAACGGTCCCGAATTCTTTTGTTGTTTATTCATCAAAATAATTGGCGGAAAAATTACTGTTTTGTGAAATATTTTGTGTTGTGATCGGCGAAATAACAATGCCTTTCAAGTGTTGTGTTCCCTTTTGTCGGGGGAATTATGTGGGTGGTTCAAAAGTTCATGCTTTTAGTTTCCCGTTGGACGAGGAGCTATAATCGAAAATGTGGATATATGCAATTCACCGCGAGGATTTTACTCCATCTAAGTTCAGTAGTAAACAGAGCTTAATTAATAATGATGAATTAATAATAGAAGACAATTACTCTCTCATAAAAAGTATAAGTAGAGGAAAAATAGAAAAGCTTTGATTGTGCAGTTAGTTTTGTATTCGTATATTATAGTCAACAAAATCATCTCTGAATTCGAAGACATTTTCTTGAATGTTCATAATAAACGGGCATTTTTAATTCTCATTCTCAAATTTCTTTCTGAAAACGGTCATTTGCCTCGTGGCAATGAATGCAGAATTCATTCCAATGATCAAATTGCAACTATCATATTAACATGTACTACAAACACTCTACTTAAAAAGGTAAAACTGCATTTATCATGATATTATTTATCATGAAGATATTTGACTAAAAAGTTCCAAATTTCACCTTCTTTTTCACCTGTCTTCTGGATGGCATTTAGAACAAATTTCCCTTCTTTTTTCATCATATTGGACAATTTATATATAATTCAACTATAAATATGATTTTCTTGAGATTAATCCATATTTAGTGAAAAGAAGGAAGAATATCATTCAAAATAATGGCGTGTGTAATGTCATTCGAAAGCAATCTATTGACATTTGACATCTCGTATTTTGATTGACTATTGATTAAATGGTCGTCATCTGGAATGCTTGTTCACTAAATATGAAAAACTCGCCATAAAAATCATATTTCCTGTTGAATTTTCTATATAAAAATGTGCCATCGAAGTAGATCATGAGTAGGTATCTAAAGTGTCCAATGACAAAATAAGAGCAAGTAGCTTCAAATGCCCCCAACACAAGGGGAGAAAGAAGGCGAAATTTCGAATTTTTTCTTGAAATATCTCAATAAATAGTGGTTTGTTCACATTTTCATTATAAAATTCGGTTTATCAGACAAAAATACGTGAGTACCGAAAAAAAAATTTCAAAAAAAAACATCGCATGATAAATGCAGTTTTACCCTTAAAAATTACGGTTTCAAGTGTAACGATCCACTTGGGTGAAAAATCCAACAACAGAAAATTGAAAACACTCACTGGTTATTTTTTCAGGTAATAGGAATTCTCCAAGATAAATATAGGTAATTGTAACAAACGAAATGTCAATCAAAATAAAATACATTTTCCACAATTTTCTTTCGATCAATTTCACGATAAGTTTATGTTCTGCGGGCCCTGTATAAGTAGGTGTGAAGTTTACCTTCACCACAATTTCTGCCAATATATTTAATTCGAATGGGTTGCTGTAGGTGGATATTTGTGTTTTATCCTGGTTTTTGCTTTGAAACTTCGTTTTTCCATAATAAAATCGAATGGGGTGCGAAGAAGGGCTCAGTTGACGACTGGCATCCTTTTTTAACCGGAAGCCCTTCAAAAAACAGCAAAATCGGCTCAATGATGATCTAAAACTAAAATCGAAATACGCGGTCGCCTTATAGCGCTATAAGCGCTTGTCGTTTCGAGCCGCTGGTTAGGCCTCACTAAGTGACGTCACCCACGGAGCATGCAGGCCTTGTTGTATCGGTGGTAACGGCTGCGTGCCTGTTGTTAGGGCAGCGTCATCGGGCTCACCCAGGGCCTACTCTAATGGGCTGCTGAGCGTGAAAACTGGGAAGTAGCAGAATGGAGTAGGTGTATGTTTATTGATGAGTGCAAATTCAATCATTTTAGACCGGATGGACGTGTCATGGTATGGAGGGGTCGAAATGAGAGATTCATGAAAACAAATATGGAGGCAAGAGTGGCTTATGGAGGTGGTGGTGTGACTATATGGGGTGGTATAATGATGAATGGGGGGACTGAGTTAGTGATTTTGAGAGGGTGATACCATATTCCCGAAATTTTGGAGATGATTTTATTTTGGTCGATGATAATGCCCGACCTCATATCAACAATATCGGTGGCCACCTTTGTCACCAGATATAAATCGGATGAAATTAAAGTTGAGAAGAAGAGATGGTAAAATTAATAATTTGGATGAATTGACAACTGCGATATTGGAAGAATAGGAAGCTATTCCCCAGAACTTCATCAGAAATCTTGTGGAGATAATGCCTAGGAGGATAACAGCTCTGATTTATCAGAAATCTTGTGGAGGGAATGCCAAGAAGGATAACAGCTCTGATTCGAACGAGAGGAGAGCCAACAAAATACTGAATTGTAACTGTTATCAATGTTCATAATTCGAATAAAAACTTTTTCCACTTGAATCACTTTCCATATAATTTGGGGTGTGCATTTTCTTCAGCTTTATTTCATCTCATGAAGTGTCACACATTTTCAATGAAGCGAAATAAACACTGAATTGATAGGGATTATAGCATTTCTGTTGAATACTGCAATTTTAAAAGTTATATAAGGTGTTAAAGCGTTGATTATCTTCGAAACGTTCTCACTCATAAAAGATCTCATGTATTTTACGCACTGTTTAATAACATGTATTGTCTCGGTGTGACTCCATATTATGGGACACACGGTATGTGAAACTTCATGATATCAATTTTCCCGATAGGTCAGTGTTTTCATAGTACTTGGATCAAAACTCGTTCTGAATGTCACCTAAATACCTCGATAATTATAGTGATGTTCGAAGAAAAACTACTCCTTCGAAATTATTTACCCGATCAGGAAAAACTCGAAGTTGTTTCAAGATTACTCAACACTCTTCTTTATTATGATGAAAAAAATCATTTGTATGATAATCCAAACAGTGGAAATGCGATCAGAAACCTAAAACTTCGCACGCAATACCATCTTCATATACAAATAAAAATTGAGGCTTGAATCGAACTCTGAGAATCACCCTGTATTGGTCAGTATATGAAAATGGAACAAAAAACACTCTATTTTTGACACATTCCACTAAAAAAATCATATTGTCGAGACAATGTGATCAATCAATGGAAATCAAAAACCATTTCGAGATAAAGCATTAAACTCCATGAAACATTATAAAGAAAGCAGAAAAAAATTTTTGGACGGAATGGGGTGACCCCAAAGTCGATCCAAGTTTACAGTGTATCATTAATCGCCCTGTACAATTTTAATCTATGATGTTTTCAGTTCTTCGAATCCATGTGTCTTGAGACAATAGGATGAGCTTCTGAATTCTGGAAACCGAATAGAAATCGGATCATTTTCTCAGAAGTTATAATCTCACAAAGTCGAGCGCAAATTTCAGGTGTCCCACTTCAATTGTGGGGCACTATAGTTCAAACTGAAAAATCTGATGGCATCTCACCATCACAAACAACTGACACAATGGAACGCCTACAGAGGCGGAAAACTAACTTCTAATAGAAATTCTAAATGAGTAATAAGTTGCATATGAATTTATTAATTTCTTTTGCGAAAATTGAATTTGTGTTATGTTATGCTTTAAGATTTTGGAAAATAATAAATTCTCAGTTTTTTGTTGCCTTTTTGTATTTTGTTACTTGACAAAATAAGATTTTTCGCAAAGGGAATTAATTCAAAAAAAGTCGGAATTAATTCAAATAGTCGTTTTTTTTATAAAAGTCATGACTTATTCCAACCCTGTTTAAAACTTTTAAAAAAATCCTTAGGAGAGGTAAAAGTTGAACAATAGAAAATTAATTCATAAAAATGTTCAATTTGTTTCAACAGTTGCCTTGAAATACGTATCTTCCTGACCACCCTGTATAACCCCCTCATATATTCGATTGTTCCTGTGTGACTGAAAAGTATTTTTAATTTTCATTTACAGATAAAACACTATGTCCTCATCAGATGATTCAGACTTCGAAGAGAGGATTAAAAAGCTCGATATAAACGAAAAGAACAATGATACAGATCTGGAAATAAATATTCTGCTACTTGGTGAAACTGGAGTAGGAAAATCGACTTTCATAAATGCTATAGGAAATTATTTTTCACAAAAATACTTCCGTAATGCTGAAGATAATGGAGTATCAGTTGTTATTCCCACAATCTACGATATAACAGATAAGAACAATAAAACACATAAAATAAAGCTGGGAAAGAAAATCAAAGATGGAAACGAATGTCTGGAAGTGGGCGAATCAGCCACACAAGAAGTCAGGACGTATGTTTTTCCTATCTGGAAAGGAAGGGTCAAAGTTCGCTTGATTGACACACCTGGAATAGGAGACACAAGAGGCGTCGAAAAGGATCAAGCAAATTGTGAAAATATTCTTCATTACTTGAAAACATTGGATAAGCTTCACGCTATTTGTTTCTTGCTCAAACCAACTCAGGCTAGAGAAACGATATATTTCAAGTACTGTATGCACCAATTGCTCTCCATGTTTGACAAAACGGCATGCAAAAATATATTTTTCCTCTTTACCAGTACTAGAGGTTCGGATTATACTCCTGGCGATACTCTCAGAATTTTGGAGAAAATTGTACAATCAATCAAAGAGAAATCGGAGGATGTAAAAATATCTACAGACAAAAATGTTTATTGCTTTGATAATGAAGCCTTCAAATATTTGGGAGCGGTCGAGAAAAAGGTGAAATTTGATGCCTCTATCAAAGAAGTCAATCTGAATAGTTGGAAAAAGTCAGCTACAAATGCTCACAGGTAAATATTCAGGAGTAATACTATAAGTATTTCGAAATATTCGGGTTATACATCGATAGCTTGTTGCATAATAGGCGTGTGGAATTTTTTTTTGATTTCTTGAATGAAATCATCTCTCAGATACCTTTCAATTCCATACTTTTCGGTCGATTTTTAGGTGCTAAAATCATCAATAATGCCACGGTAATTCTCAAACGGCTATAGACATTCACCGCTAGTAAAAATTGACGCTATGATTTCGTAAGTAGGGGCAAACCATAGCACAGTTGCCATGTGTTGAGATACGATTGGGAACTTCAGAAATATTAGTTATTCAATAATTCATGAATTCTCGAATGAGTTTTGTCTAGAATGTTCCCTTATGATTTGTGGCTCATTGCTCGTTCGTGTTAATAATAATTATATTAATTCACACTAGAGGACATTTGAATCGGTGAACGTGACAACCCCGCGCACGACCTGTGGGCGTGTTCTTGTCAGTTCTCAACATTCAGCACACTGTTGCCAAGTCTCCAACATTCACATGATATTTTTTTATGGAGAATAAGAAATATTTGGACATGCTGGTTGCTCCAAAAAGTCGAGAATGAACTATAATGTCATGAATTCCTCCTATTATATTTTGTGTAGCTTAGCTCAATTGAACGTTCTGATTGGTTTAGAATCATACGAAGAAAATGATCAATAACATGAAAAATCTGATGACAACAGTGAGTACAGGGTCGTCAACAATGACAGAGCCACGTGACAGATTACTTCGCAACCAAAAATACATTCGTATCTCTTCAACAAGGGTGGAAAAAAAACGCCTCATTGAAAACTGTCACGTGGTACTCAATTATTGTTGAAGGCTCCTAGACTCGATACATTACCTATAGAAAATTAATAAATCTAGATTTTCTCACTCATATTCCAGAAGAAATAGGCGTTCAAGCCTTGGTAGTTTGAAAAGAAAGTTCTGATTTCATTCATTATCATTGAAGATTAACATTTCTTTTAAAATTTTGGTCCACAGTCAAACCAAACATTTTCAAATTTTTTTACCAAATACATATACAAGGTATATTCGAAATTGGAACAATAAATAAAATTGGGTGTTTGATTACACATAATGACACAGTAAGTGGCAAGAGAACAAAAATTAGAGTTATTATCGAAAATTTAAAATTTTCAAGAAATTGATGATTTAACTACCCTATAGTTGGGAAAGCATTGGTTTTATTCCCCAGTACGCGCTCTCACTCTATTGTTGTGTTCTTCCTCCTTACTAGCAGAATCAAAATATTTAATACATGCACAATGCACAAATGGAACTAAAATGTCTTTGAAGACTGAAATATTAGGACTCACAACAAGAATCACTTTAGTTTCATTATAAGATTCAATGTTTAATATTCGTTGTCTATCTTTGTTGTTTTTATTTTTATTTTTAACTATCCGAGCTTTTGATTGTATATTTTCAATTGTATTTTACATTCACATTCTGAATTGGATATTAAAGTATGTTTTTCTACTCACATTACTCAGTAAGTGGCAAGAGAACAAAAATTAGAGTTATTATCGAAAATTTAAAATTTTCAAGAAATTGATGATTTAACTACCCTATAGTTGGGAAAGCATTGGTTTTATTCCCCAGTACGCGCTCTCACTCTATTGTTGTGTTCTTCCTCCTTACTAGCAGAATCAAAATATTTAATACATGCACAATGCACAAATGGAACTAAAATGTCTTTAAAGACTGAAATATTAGGACTCACAACAAGAATCACTTTAGTTTCATTATAAGATTTAATGTTTTATATTCGTTGTCTATCTTTGTTGTTTTTATTTTTATTTTTAACTATCCGAGCTTTTGATTGTATATTTTCAATTGTATTTTACATTCACATTCTGAATTGGATATTAAAGTATGTTTTTCTACTCACATTACTAAAATGGCATTTAGCGTACGGATATGTATGTACCACGCTAAATGATCGATTAATCACGGATTGTCGATCTGTGATTTATTCGAAATATTAAACACGTTACCTTGGCAACACGATTTCTTAAACACATTACCATGGCAACGCAGTTCATTAAACACAGCTTCAGTAATTTGAGACATGTCTGGCCTGTTAATTGTATCAACTGTCAACTGTTATTTTCGAATTTTGTATCAGAATTATTCAAACAATATTCGTTTGTATCAGAATTCTTCATTAAAAATATATGCGAAAAGTAGACGAAAGTGAAATCGAAGAGGTGACCGACATATATGGGGTGTTTTGTCGATATTGCTCATTTATTTGAAAAAAGTTATCTCATAATAATCCTTGGACACCTGGGCATTACTCTATTTTTTCAGTCTCATAACACAACTGCAGAGAGGATCACCTACACCCTATTCACCTGACAATTTATTAGCTATCAACTTCAACAGACGGATGTTATTCTTCTTCTCAAAACTTTTGGCAGAAATATCTCAAATCATTGAGGATAACTTGACCGTATTGATTCGACTTCAAGTGAATAAGGATGCAGAAACGACGGAAATTGAAAATATGAAGAAGAGCCAGACCAAAAAAGTTGTGGATGTTGAAAAATCTAAAGTCTGTCAGCCTGTTACCGTTTGTTCGGATAAAAAATGTGCTGATATTTTTTGGGTAAGAAAAAGATAAACCTAACCTATACACTATCATAATATGTTCATGTTTGATAATTTTATAACTGCCACTTAACACTTAAAGCACCAGCGAAAATACTTCTTTTTTTTTTTTCAAAAATAGTTTCAAAACCGATCAAACTTTGTTAGTTTTGATAGTCGATAAATTGAGAAATACAGAAGACAAATATTTTGAGTGCTGTATTTTTAGGAAGCTTTTCAAAAGGTATTTCCAATGGCGAATATTGGGTGTTTTATATCTTCCCAGGTAGTGAAAACATATCTCAAGTTTCTAGAAGGAAAAAAAAATCCTCTGTGAATCTGTTTCATTGATATTCTACTGTCAAAAATGAAAGATATACAGGGGGTGATACTTTATAATGTATCATCCGGTACAACACTGAAATTGAATGGCATCGTTGTTGTTTCTCAAAATTTCTACAAGAATGACAGTGCATGCTCGCATGATATCTACTAGATTTCCATGAGAATGATAATTCTACGCTTTTAAAATACTTTTTCTCAAATATCAAATCGCAAAGGCAACATTAGATTTCGAAATACGCTAACCTAGTATTTTAGTCAGTTGCTATAAGCAATGAACTTTCCCGAAACCAAAACGCTCCGGGAAATTTTTCTACGGCCTGCCGGTTTGTCATGTACAGGATAATTGTTTATATTTCACTCAATAGCTATCTAAGTTAATTTTGGTCTCACAGAAACGTTCAAATGGGCAAAAATGAAGAATTTTTTATGAGCAGTCAGAATCTAGTACCAGAAAATGCAAAAAAGCATCATAAACCTTAACATTTTACATAAGCGGGTATTTTTTAAATGGAACACCCTATAGGCGATTCATGCTAAGGAGTACTCCCTCTACCGTTGTCTAATATAACTAACGTATGGGCCATTGATTGCTTTGTTTACATTAGTTTGCGTGTATTTTGTATGAGAAGTAGTTGTGTTTTAATTGTCTATAATTTTGTTTGAGAACTTCTATAAACGTTTAAAAACGTGAGTCATCATTGTTGTGTACCTCATTGTTCATCTTGAGCAAAAAAATCCCGAGTATAGCTTTCATTCCTTTCAAAAATCAGGACAGTCTAAATTTGTATTTGAAACTAATAATTTGGGAAACAAGGAAGTGATCGGTAGGAGAAAGGTGTGGATTCATAACTTGAAGATTGGAAAAAGTGTTAAGTGTCTGAACATAATGAGATATTGTTCTTTACACTTCACTGAAAATTGACTCATACCTATAGGTATATTTTCAAATGTATATGTCTATTATGAATATAATACCTACATTTCTTGAGGTGGTGGTAAAAGAACAAACAAATTTCAAACTGATTATATCTTTACTCATGAACAGTAGAATTTTTAAACAGTTAAAGAATGTTATCAAGCAGGGTTTCGATGATTATATTGTAAAAAGTCAAGTAGAAACTGTTAACCTAAATTCACCTTCCAAAGAACACTTTGTTCCCAAAAAGTTTGCTGGATTTTGTTTTAAAAATATCATGCACTATCAGGGGAATATCCCAGCTATATATTCGAATTGGAAATCAACATCCCACACAGGTTTTCATGAGAATTATTGTTCAATAATGATAAAAACTTACAGCCTATGCATGTTGGTATATATGAAGTTCAACTAGAGGTAGGGAGGTTATCTAATGTTGAACAGAGATAATATAGTCCTCAATCAAAACACAGTAGACCGCTGGAAAATACAAAGTTCGAAAATAGACAAAAAACAAAGCTGGACGTTTGAAAACTCAAAACGAAATGAACATAAACACCATTACCAAACAATGTAAACAATCCGCCAATGGCCCATAGAGTAGTACCGACATTCGCCGTTCTGGCGCTACGATCTTAATCTCAGTCGCCTATACTGTCTGTAGGTTAATCGAGGAGGTGTTACATTCATTTTACTCGATTATTTGGGATTTTCTCGTTTCTACAAAATGAAAATATGAGTATTTTTTCAATATATGTGTAGTAGGACAAATCAGATGATTTGTCCCAAAATGTCACTCCGTTTAACAAATTTTTCTATCAGGAAGCCCAAAAGAAAAATCCAATAGCTTGTCAGTTACACTTTGTTTGGAAAAAAGTTTGAAGGGAAGAAATATTGATATATTGAAAAAATATCGAATTTTTACTCAGCTTTGGACGTTTCGGGAAAGAATCTGCGCCCCCGTTCTCAACATAAAAATGCAAAATATTTTTCTTTCTTGCATTTTTCCTCGAACATAACCAGGCAAACCAGGTTAACTTTATCATGACGTCACGGTTACCTCATTATGACGTCACGATGGGTTGGCCCATTCGTAAAGTAAGTATTAAAAAAATTCTTTGCCCTGGCTGGGATTCGAACCAACGACTTGCACGCCCTGGCAAGGATAAATTAACAGCCGATTCCTTATTAATTGGATGTAAATGGTACAACGTAGGCAATATTCCGAATTCAACTGACACTACTGAATCTGCTGATTTTTCATTCCGAAATCAAAAAAATCACTAAGGCTATATTCTGAATTCAACTGACAGTACTGAATCTACTGATTTTTCATTCCGAAATAAAAAAAATCACTGAATGTGACAGATGCTTGTGAGCAGATATACTATTCATTCCAAATATTTCATCTCAACATTCTGCTGAAATTGCTGAGTATCAAAAGGTAGTGTGGCTTCAGTAAACTGTCATTATTTTAGAGGGGGAAGGAATGTAACATTTATTTCCGTTGTTGATTACATTATTTTCTATATCAGAAAATACCCGTTATCGAAATAATAAACGCTGAGAATATAATATAGATTATATAGAGTATGAAGTAGAAGAGAGGTGACGAAAGAAGAAGCAGCATTGGGTAAATGAATATCCAAATAAACCTGAAATGTTTCCTGAATTCATCATCATTAATGCCATATTACATAAATGTCCAAGAATTCTTCATCACTCGAGACAAGAACCGATTGTTCTTTCATGTTGAATATTATATTTCCAAAATGTATGTCAAGCAGGAGGCAAAATAATCTAGTCCAGATGAACGAGATACTACATACTGAAAAATTTCACCAGCTGATCAACTGCTGCTGACTACTGATGAAAACCATGAAAACGTGTCCCGAATTAAAGCACTGTATTTTTGATTTTATATTTCGTAACACATATTTTCAGCAGAGTCAGTGGATCTGCTGACAGTACTGACCAGTTGAATTCGGAATATAGCCTAAATGTGACAGATGCTTGTGAGCAGATATACTATTCATTCCAAATATTTCGACTCAACATTCTGCTGAAATTGCTGACTATCAAAAGGTAGTAGCTTCAGTAAACTGTCATTATTTTAGAGGGGGAAGGAATGTAACATTTATTTCCGTTGTTATATTATTATTTTCAATATCAGAAAATACCCGTTATCGAAATAATAAACGCTGAGAATAATATGGAGTATGAAGTAGAAGTGGTAACGAAAGAAGAAGCAGCATTGGGTAAATGAATATCTAAATAAACCTGAAATGTCTCCTAAATGCATCATCATTGATGCCATATTAAATAAATGTCCAAGAATTCTTCATCAGCTTGAATCGCCATCGTCAACAATCGAAGAAACTATGAAGGCTACAAGAAGCGATTGCTCTGCCATGTTAAATATTATATTTCCAAAAAGTTTGTTAAGCAGGAGGCTAAATTATCTAGTTCAGATAAACGAGAAACTACATACTGACAAACACCAGCTGATCAACTGCTGCTGACTACTGATGAAAACCATGAAAACAGTTGAATTCGGAATATAGCCCATGATTCGCGATCGAAGTTTTTGAAAGCTGTCAATGCGGTCTGTTTACTTTGTTTTCATTGGTTGCAGAGTCAGTGGATCTACTTAGGGTCCATTGATGGAAATTGACGTTAAAGTCATTTTAACAGGGTACGGACAGATCCTCGTCTCCTCTCACTCTAAAGTGAGAATCGAATATCGCGGGAATCAATGATACCAGGTGGCGCTCGGTTTTCATCGTTCCATGTCAAAGCCACGTCAAAACTGGGGGAAAACAAACTCAATCCTCACTCAATCCCATTAGTGCCATTAGCTTGTGTACTGAAGAGTGATAACACTTCATGTCATTGACAAGTATGACAACTACAGATACAGCAAGATGTATGCAATGTACTCTATGCACTTTATCCATAGACAACAGTTTGTTTTCCCCCAGTTTGAAGTTCGTATTAACCGTGTAACCTAGATGTCGCCCACTTCGTGAATCTCGCGAATACAAAAAACGTCAAAACAGCAGTGTCAAGTTCATTTAGGAACTTTAGTACAACGTAACTCCTAGTTTGATTTGAAATAGTATGTAGCTATATTCAAATAATCAAAATTTTTCAGGTGGATGGTGTACCGAAATGGCACTACAAAGTAATATGCCACGGCACTTGCTTGGAAGTATCGAATGTCCGGATGGAAATTGTTGGTTGTCCACAATTGCTCAACTGTCATGCCATAAGCCAGCAAACCAGAAAATGTGTGCAATGCGGTTGCGACTACTCGGTTCATATGCATGTCGACTACATAACCAGGGTGACTGAAAAAAACGTTTTGGATGATAAAACCCGCAACATTATAGCGGGAAAAGAAAGCATCTTGGATAATTCGAGCGAGCTCATCGAGGATATCAGCATCAAGAATGTGGAGCTACAAAGTGAATACGAGACTTTACAAACGTTTGCTGCTGGCCTCGCGAATTTTCTGGAGAAAAATGCCATTGTGTCTTTCAATGGGTCATTCAAAGAATATATCGTCTACTTGATAAATCAGTGAGTATCACTCTTGTAGTTATCTTGGTCTCTAAAATGAGATATTGAAAAGAATCAAGAACAATGGGGAAGTTTCCTTCAAATAAATTTTTATAAAATAAGTTCGGAACTCTCCAGTTTTATTTCCACGCTGTACAGAATGGCGACCGATAAAGTCCATGTCGTTTTCATCTTCAAATTAAAGCAATTTCTAATTTTCGGGGCGGCAAGCTGTGACGTAGATTCTGAATCTAGTCTGAAAATAGCTGATGGTGAAGAATATAGCTAGCGAATAGCTAACAGCTTACAAATAGCTAACGAATGAAAAACGATTGGAAAAAATAGAAGAAGAAGAAGAAGAGGTAAAACTGGTAAACAAAAACTGGCGAATATGGTTTTGTTATTTATGAATTGAAATATCTTGAATAGAGCTCCATCCTAAACGAAAATATCGTTGAATCAATGAATCACTATCGGCAACATTGAATGATTGTAGATGGGTCGTATAGGCTGGGAGACCTCTCGATCACTGCAACCTAGAAGATCTATTGTGATTAACATTCAATGATGAATTTACTACCATCTGTCAGAACAGAATGAAGCCAACACCCATGGCTCCTCCCTCTTGCTGTGCCTGTCAGTATTTTTATTGGTGTGGACGGACTCGAAGTATTAGGCGCTGTTGCAAGATATAATCTGCAACTTTCCTAGAAAATAGATCTGTTTTATTAAGCAACGAATTCTTTAGTAAAAAAATGACTGACAAGTTATGAATAACATATTGTGATATAACGATAGTGAACAATTATAGATACTATCGCAAAATATCATAATTTATTTTTATTAGTGATCAACTTCATTCAGCCAATGAGAGATTTATGGGAATTATTCATAATACTTGACAAAGTAGGATTGAAGAACCTATTATATCCCATTGCTGTTGAAGGTCAAAGGACAATTTCCGGAAATCTAGACCATATTGATGATTGCGGTAACGTCGTAGTGGCACAGGGAATCGTATTTTAGCTCTGTGTGAATGTGGATTTTCAGAAAGTACGTCTTAGGAATGGTGGAGGAGCTAAGTTCCTCTTTTATTTATTTTTTCCAGAAGTGAAATTTGATCTTACGAAAAAAGAAAAAATATGTATATATTATTTTTTCACAAACTTCACACTGAGATAAAATCCTCAATATAGGAAACTTCCCCATTGTGTTGCAAAGAAATGGACAAAAAGGATCACACTTCAATCTGAAACACGATGAAACAGAAGGTTGAAGAATGGTTGTGAATTATTGTTAACAAAAATAAAAAAAATCCTTACTTGCTTGAAACACTTGTACCTTCTCTTAGAAAGCAAGGGTAATTAACCCCCTTAGAGGATAACGACAGACACATTTTTTAAATTTTATTCATATAAAGAAAAATGTGAAAATAACATCAACAAGAAAATTGACAAAAATTTTAAATTATAGGAGCCGCTTTAGCTGTAAATTTTTCAAAAAATTGCAACAAATGCGACAGCTGTTCAAAATGACACTAGCGTCATTTTGAACAGCTGTCGCAATATTTCATTGCATTGCAGGAATTATATGAGTCTGGACCTATTTTATTGCGGTAATGGGCTTATATAACAAATTTTTTTTTTATTTCATAATTCGATAGAACTCACCCAAACTAGCTCACTACCGCAAACCGTTTCTTGCTGTGAGCTCCCTACGTTTTATAAAAAAATATTGAAATCCCGGATTTTTCGGACCTCTGAGGCGATGATGTGACGTCAAAACCCTAATACTGAAACAAAGACTATTCCAGACAGAGATGAATGATACATGATTTCTGACAGAGTGAATTAGCGCGAGATCACAGTTGAAAGAATTAATATATCAGTTACCTCAGTCTCCGTCGGGCTTTTGGTATTTTCTTTTAAATGGCGAGATGAGGTTTCTACGTCATAAGAGGGTCCGTTTTCTGAAGGTACTATTATTTATGTCCAAAAATAAAACATTCCAGTTAATTTTTCGATCGAATCATGTCGTCAATCATTAGTTATGTATAGAAAAATCATTATAAACATGGTTTGAGTTAAAAGTTCTACTAAGGTGTACACGCCCATTCGTATTGCTATGGTGCAGTTCTAGTGATGAATTGGTAGATTTTCGGTATTTCATGCAATATTTATGCATCATTTGATGCAAATTGAATGTTACTGTTTTCATGGTTTCTTCTACCCATTTCATAAGTTGATGAGAAGCAGAACACACAAAAATACCTTGCAAGCTGGACATTCTGATGCAGTATAAATAGCCTGCCTATATCGTCATTGCCAGAAATATAAATTGCAGCAATCAATGGCGTGCAATGAAAAATCAGAAACTGTGAAGCGCCTCTGATAAGTGAAATAAAACTAATAGCAAAATTAATATAACTTGCCCAACAGGTACCTACCTAGCCTGAAAAACATCACACTAAAATGACTATTACCTAGGGTGACCAGACGTACTCTTTTATGGTACAAGTACTACTCATTTTCGAGGGTGCTGTTCTCGAAAGTCTATCTTTTTTCATTTGGGAGGTGAATGTCATTTTTTTGTAGTCCCGTTTAGACGGTTTATAGTCAAAATTTGAATAACTGAAACAAAAATCGTCTGCGGCGCTTTTTTCCTAAAATACTTGATACTAAATGTACTCTTTTTTCATTCTCAACTCTTTTCACCCTACAGTATTAACCCCCTTAGAAATTCACCTTCGGACCTCCCTTGTTAAAAAGAAGATATTGACTTGTTAAAAAGAAGATATTGACTTGAATAAATAAATATTGTGTCAAGAAGGGATCACACTTGATAATGAAGCTGAGTTCAACTAGGGTCCCTTGATCGAAATTGACGTTAAAGTCATCTTAACAGGGTACGGACAGATCATAGCTGCATTCTTTTTTAATGATCTAGACCAAGAGGTCGACCGCGGTCTACTGGTCGACCGCGAAGGCGATTTACGTAGCTCGCGAGAGTTGAATAAACTGAATTGAAAAATATGAAAAATAACAAGACTCATTCTAATCGTAGTTAATTTTGACCGTAAGAATCAGTAACTTATCCGATGCTGAGAATCTGTTGTGGATGAAGATGTAATAATTAAAACGAGAAACGACCTCGAAAGCGACATATTTTGAAAGCTACAGTATATGGTGGTACAGATTTTTAAAAAATGATTTGCAAAGAAAAGCTTCCATGCCTAAGAAAGGAAGCTCAATATTTGACTTTGTTTTTCGGTTCTACCTATTATGGCATATCAACAGCTGAAGAAATTACTCCTATCAGGCAATTTGATAAAATTGTCGAGAATATGCAGTGCCAATAAACATCCACCCAAAAACGTGAAACGTAATGAGGGATGCGGATTTCGTAAAAATTTACCACAAAAATGTTTTATTCCTCTTCTGAACTCTACCTTGTAGTCGACCGCTAAAAATATTTCTGAATACAAGTCGACCTCCCAGGTAAAATGTTTGGCCACCCCTGATCTAGAGACTAGTTTTGTCTACTGGCATCACTGAAATTGCTGTGACGTCACATCCATGGGCGCTACAGAAAATCATTCAAAATTTTAATAATAGGTATTTACAGGGTATTTACTTGTTGAGGAAGATCATATGACGAACGAGTTTTGGGATTATGATACGATTCTATATAAAATTGAAAGGTATATCTGGGGTTTTCTGGAGTTGGAGATAATGATTGTTTCGTCAAACTTGGAAAATTCAAGATGACGGATCCAATATATAACCGAAAGACATTACTAATTATAATTTGATTCTATCTAAGATTGGTATCTGAGGGTTTTTGGGGTCGAACTTCATGATTTTTTGTCAAAATTGGGAAATTTAAGATAGCGGATCCATATGATGGACGAATTTTGTAATGGTTGGAAAGAATTCTATTGCTGAAATTCATTATTAAAAAAATTGCAGAATCTTTAAATCTGCCTATTGTCATAAATTATTCCGGGCATAGTATAAGAAGAACCTCGGCAAGTTTATTTGCAAATTCTGGAGGAGACATTCTTGCTTGGAAGTCTACGAATATCGCTGAAGGGTATGTGCAGAAATCTCTCACAAAATAGCAAACAGTTTCGAACCAAATGGTGGGTCACTGAAGTTAATGAAATTGATTGTAATCCGCCAAGTACGAATTCTGTATAATGTATTTTATGAAAATATCGCGAAAACTGCATTGGCTCCAGATCTTACTTCTAGTGGTATTCAAATAACCACAGCTCAAAACTGCACTTTTGATATTACTTTAATATAATTATTACTCTACCACGAATTTGAAATATGTAGGATGCAAGAGTGAAAATAACGTGCCAATAAGTTATACTGTATACCTACTTCTCTGTTACTTTCATCAATAAATTATTTGAAAATGACTCTTCATTTAAGGGATGAACTACTGCTCAGCTTGAAATCAGAATTCATTCAGTCAACCCTGGTGTACAGTCTAAGAACAACCTCTTTTGGTGAAATATATTAAGCTTTTAGTACAATTTATATGTTCCCTACCTCGCAAAGATTATGCTGGAGCAGTAAACTCTAAAACTAGAGGATTATTCATCTATATCTTGGTTTAGTTGAATCAGGAATTCCATATGGAAATTACGTATGATACGCCAATGACCTCAATATAACCTAAAAAAACAACAAATGTCAAAAATCTAGTCCTTATCCCCAGAATTGAATAAGGATGGAACTATATAACTGTTTCACAAACACTTTAGAGTGAGAGGAGACGAGGATCTGTCCGTACCCTGTTAAGATGACAAATACGTCAGTTTGCATCAAGGGACCCTAAGTTCAACTAGAGTAACTGGATGGTATTAGTTAGATAAGAGTTCGGACACAGAAATGACAACTGTTGGTGTTTTTGAATGTTTAGATTCATTAAGTTACACACCTTGCATTGTGACAAGAGCACCATAGTCGTTCCGCGCTTTTTCATTCAAAATTGTTAGAATTTGACAATAAATACTAGGAACTCAGAATCGAAATATAATTTCATGAACTATCGAGAAGAAAATGTCCTGCTGTGTAATGAATTGTGAGAACTCTGAAAAGAATGGATTACATTTATTTAATCCGAAAAAGGAAATATCAACCCCATTCTCTTATGGAATGAATGTATGAAACGGCCTGGATGAAAAATTGATTTGAATACAAGCGAAATTTGTTAGGTACATAAGTAGATGTAAATAGTTAAAAATTAGAATTCAGTTTTTATAACAGAGCAGATTAGAATGAAACTATATTTTAGACCCATATTTTCAAACAGAAGATTTCAAGATTGAGAGAATCTGCTGTTTCATTTACAAAACAGACTATTTGAAAAGAGAACTCATTATCATCACACGAAATGCAGAACAAAACTATCATGGAGAAAGAAGAGTTTATTGCAAAAGTACGTAATGAAATTGGTGAGAACGAAACTGAGGAAATCAAGTAAATTGCAACGTGATATATCATTGAATGGCGTTTTTAATACCGACCCAACTGGCTATAAGTGTATCCATACGTGTCTACTTTGTCATTGAAATGTTGTTACATGCATTCTTTTCATTTTTATAACTGTTGTTGCGAAAAGTGCCGTATCGCTATTAATTAAAGTGGGTGTTTATACCATATTTCCATTTTCCATCTACGGCTATGATTGATTTGACAGGAAATCTAACCTCTAAAATTGTATCTGACAATCAGGTACTACTAGGGAAATTGAAAAGACAAAGAGCAGAATATATGTCTTATTCTTTTATTCACTCAAACCATTGTAATATAGAAAATAGAAGAGAACAGAAGTTCAGCTGTGTCCGAACTCTTATCTACGAATACCATCCTGTGACTCTAAGATTACCTAGGGTCCCTTGATGGAAATTGACGTTAAAGTAATCTTAACAGGGTACGGACAGATCCTCCTTTCCTCTCACTCTAAAGTGTTTGTGAAACAGTTATATAGTTCCATCCTTATTCAATTCTGGGGATAAACACTAGATTTTTGACATTCGTTGTTTTCCAGGTTATATTGAGGTCACTGGCGTATCATACGTAATTTCCATATGGAATTCCTGATTCAACTATACCAAGATATAGATGAACAGTCCTCTAGATTTAGAGTTTACTACTCCAGCATAATCTTTGCGATTTAGGGAACATATAAATTGTACTGAAAGCTCAATATATTTCAACAAAAGAGACTGTTCTTAGACTGTATACCAGGGTTGACTGAATTGACTGAATGAATTCTGATTTCAAGCTGAGCAGTAGTTTAACTATGAGCTGAATGAGCTGAGCCTTATGATTGAGAGATGGTGGGAACCTCGATGTGGGTATCTAGACTACTGTACTCATGTCATGTGTGCTAAATATATTTTCAGAAATCCAATTCGGAGAAGAATTGATGGAGTTACTGATATCACACTATGTATAAAACTTCGTCTAGGACGAAAAGTAGGCTGATAAAAATTAATACGTAAAATGTGCACGAAAATAAAGAATTGAATATACTTCACCCCATGTTATAAATATGATTTTTTCGTCTCTTTTGAATGAAAAGTCATTTTCGAATAATTTATTGACGAAAGTAACAAAGAAGTAGGTATACGCTAAGTATACGCAGTATGATTTATAGGCACGTTATTATTGTCACTCTTGCATCCTACATATTTTCTATTTGTGGTAGAGTAATGACTCGAGTAATTATTATATAAACTAATGTCTTTCGCCATATTGGATCCTTCATCTTGAATCCTTCAATTTTGACGAAACAATCATTATCTCCTACCCCGAAAACCCCGAAATACCAATTTTGAATAGAATCGGGTCTTCATTACAAAACTCGTCCACCACATTGGGTCCGCCATCTCGAATAACCCAATTTTGACTAAATAATTATAATCTCCGACCCCGGAAATCCCCAGATACCAATTTTAATTTTTTGAATTGAATCGGATCATAATTACAAGTTTCGTTCGCCATATTGGATCCGATAACTCTCATATACCAATCTTAAATAGAATCTGATCATGATTAGAAATTTCTTTTGCTATATATTGTATCCGTCATCTTGAATTTTCCAAGTTTGACGAAACAAGCATCATCTCCAACCCTGGAAAGCCCCACATACCTTCCAATTTTGAATAGAATCGGATCATAATTACAAAACTCGTTCGTAATATGATCTTCAACAAGTAAATACCCTGTACATACCTATTATTGAAATTTTGAATGATTTTCTGTAGCGCCCATGGATGTGACGTGACAGCAATGTCAGGGATGCCAGTAGACAAAACTAAAATCTCTAGATCATTAAAAAAGAATGCAGCTATGATCTGTCCGTACCCTGTTGAGATGACTTTAACGTCAATTTCCATCAAGGGACCCTAAGATTAACCACTCACATTTGCCACGAAACAGAATTGAATATTTCTGTTCTATTATCATCGACGTTTCATATTTGATTTTTTTTAGGAAACGCTCATCAGGAGATTCTTCTGCGAACAAATCTTCCGTAGATGAATTGAAAAATCTCCAAAAACAGTATGAAGAAATTGAGAAAATATTCGAGGAAGCGCAAAAAAATCCCAAACAAAGTGTTGACATTGACGTGCAGAATTTTGAAGAACACATCAAAACATTGTTAGTCCTAAAACATAATTCAAAGGAAATCAAAGAGTTCTGTGACCTAGAGAAAAATGCGCGAGAAAAGCGGGTTTCTGTGAAAGAATATGTTCATCCAGATTATTATGAAGGAGATGAGGATGTGAGAAAGGGTGCTAGGAACAAGAACAAATTCGACCAAAAAAGAGATGGAAATAAACAAGATGGTCGGGATAAGAAATATCAGGACAGACGTCATGTCAACGAAGAAAGAGACAAAAATGAAAGGGATTCTAGAAACAGAAATGACAGGCAGTCAAACAGAGGTAAAAAACTACTACAAATCCCCTTAATAAAGAAATAGTCCAATATAAAAACGTTATTGATGTCAAAGGCTAATAAAATAAATCCCAAATTTCTGAACAAAGTAGATACTATAAGTCAAGACTTGACATTATGATAGAATGAGTCAAAATTTATATTTTTTTATTTAGAATTGACTAAAACAAGAGCATTTTATTAGTTATGGGTACTGGAATAAAAGGTAGGTTATAATAATATGATTTCTGTAATACTACTGAAATAGTATATTGAAGTATTAAGTGGATATTAAGTTGTTTCAAACACGCGCGAAATACAAGTAGAGCTAGTGTTAAAAAGACCAGTGACCAACAATTCTCGAATGAGGATCCAATAACTTGGTAGATTTCAATGCAAACAAAACACAAGCATGCCTTTTCTCTAGAAAAGCCGATCGCACTGTGCCCAACATAAGCTTGTCAGGAGTAACCATACCTTTGAAGACATCCATTTCGGTGCTCGGTATTACTATCAGCAATAACCTTTCTTGGGAAAATCACGTGAGATCAACTGCTAAAAGTGCATCCCAAAAACTTGGTTTCCTGTTTCTGGCCAGGATCTATTTCACTCTTCCAGTCAGCTGCTTATGATCTATAAGGCACATATCCGACCTGTCCTGGAATACTGTTCCCATATTTGGAGTGCAGCACCCAAACATACCCTGAAACTGTTGGATTCTGTCCAAAAAGGGGAATTCGTCTCGTGGGTGATGCCTCGCTCACAAACTCACACTTCTCTGGAATACCGTAGAAAAGTTGGCGATCTGGCTCTATTTTATAGATATTTTCATGGACGATGCTCGTCTGAAATATCAAAAATTGTTCCTCCCTTGGCAGTCCCCGCGAGATTAACCCGTCGAGTTGAGGCTTCGCACCTTTTCGTGGTCACTTTGGGGACCTTATTTCCCTTGGTTCTCAAGATGATCTCGCAACATTACAGGATATCCCTTTTCGTGGGAACCAGAACATAAAAAAATTATATACATATATAGGGTTTTCGAACCTGTGATGGAAGTAAGATATGGTGTAATCACTGATGCGCTTTTGTTTCAGAAATTTTACTCGACCTCTCGAGAACAGCGAGAGCAATGGTTCCGTCGATCTTCTAAAAGATGGCGACATTGCACAATTACATCGGCCAATTTTTTAAATTGCCGCAGATTTTTCGAATTCAGAGTTGAATAATCCCACTTTTACATATGTTCCGCTTACCTAAAATGCCATTTGCCATTTTATTTTCATTCGTCACAGCAACAATTGCAGCAATACCATCTCGTCAAAAAATGTAGAAACAACGTCTCGCTCGATGTGACCACAGTAGAGAGCTTACTACTGTGATGTGACGTAGAGAAATTATAGTAGTTGGTCGAGTGTTTTTTCTTGAGTTTTCAATACGTGAAAATGGCCGACTACGCACACCATCTACTTATTTCCATCATTGTCGGCACTATAACTAAGTTGTTTTTTATTGGAGCTACAAAGTCAGTTGAATAGACAAACTATGTAGTAGCAGTTTTTCCGCTGATCACGATATGATGATAAAGAATCCAAAATCTAACATCGCGTTCACGAGTTATATCAAAAAGTTCAATTTCTTCAAATGGGATCCCCAGTATACAATATTCTAAGTCAATAGAAAATTAGATTCAGAACAAGAACTGTTTTATAGACTTTTATTCTAAATTCAAAAATGACTACGCTTTCGACGATTTCTTTTTACTTTATGGTGTTTGAGAGTGTATTCATATTTAATTATTTATTGTACATTTGGCATCAGCGCCTTGTATGCATTGCTGTGCCACCCCCAACCCTGTCGACAAGAGAATACTGAGACATTCATCGTCGGTACTTGGTGAGCAAGCAATGCTTTTGTTAATTTGTTAATAAAAGCCTATCGAAACCTATTTCTTTTCACTACATTTCTACAATTCCATCAAGTACTGACAGCTATTTACTATTTACACAAACATATGGTAAAGCAAATTACAACCACTTTGACAAATTTGAAAAATTATCGAAGCCATTTTTTAATGTAGGGTAAAAGTTTATGAGGCAGTTTTTGTTCAGAATCGAATTTCCTATTGATGAAGAATATTGAATACGGTGTCCCATTTAAAGAACAAATCAACCTTCTCTATTTTTCTTTCGATTTAATCATTGTAATCAGCGGAAAATAGTATATTATTACATAACTAGTGTGGAAAGTGATATATTTCGCACCATCAGTCATATTCAGCACGACGTCGCCTAGCGGCGAGTGCGGAAATATAACGAATTCATAAAAAATATTTTCCAACGAGTTATGTACACTATTTTTCTTACGACCATAAATATAACTTGTGATATGTCTTTTATCTATGTTGAAATTAATCTAACTTATTATTCGGTAAAGAAATAATTATTTCTTTCCAAATAATAAAAATTGAATGCCAAGTCACGTCGTTGTATAGACCTGAGCCACACCGGTGTAGACAGCAAATACCGAAATACCGAAACAAATATCAGTTCTCACGGGGGAAAATTCAAATTCTAACGAAAAGCGTAATTTATTCTTCAGACGGTTTATCTCCCGATCCAAATTATTATGCATTAGTATAAAATGAACAATTGACGGTATTTGAACAAGTGAGGTACGTAGTTTTTGAAAGGTATCAGATTAGTATAGATGTAGTTTTCATTAGGTATTAAATTGGTATTGAGATCAGATAATTTATACGACGCCATAAAAGCAGATGATATTATTTTATCATTGCTCATGTAAGATGGAAGTAGAGACCATGGCACCATATCATGAGCATATTTTTATATTGAAACTATAATTGGGCACCAAAGATGTGTATACGACGCTATGAAAGTTCAGAGAACTGGAGATTTTTCCCACAAACTACGTACTTAGCCCACTCGACTGTCTTGGTTTTTCCACACAAACTACGTACCTAGCCCACTCGACTGCCAATAGGGACTAAAAAAACAAATACAAAAGAAAGTTAGAACAATGCCAACATCTTTCTTCTTTGTGGAAAATCGAGTGTGCTTTTTTACTTTCTTTTGTTTTTTGTTTTGTTTTCTATTGGCAAGTGATTATCTAGGAACTTGTACATTTTTTAGTTTTTTCATCGTATCTCCCGAACTATTGAATTCAGAGAAAAATGTTATACGGATTTTTTGTAGATTCTATCAAAAGGAATAATTTTGGTCCTATAAGATTTTCAGATATTTTCAGTTGTTTTCGAGATATTTGGAATTATCTGAGAATAAAATTTTCAAAACTCGTGTTCCATCTTCAAATCAACAAAAGGAAAAAATATTTCATGGTTCAGTGGAAGTCGATGAGCTTCATCTATCGATATAATCTTTGTTTGCCAATATATCTTCATGGTACCCTATGGGTCATTCAAATTTTTTTTTTCATATTTTTCACTTTATTTCCTGTACTATTGGATTTACAGAAAAAATTATGGGTAATAATTTGTAGGAAATGTTCCAGTGGATAACTTTGCACTTCTGATAATTTTCGATTTTTTCCATTTGTTTTCGATATATATTGAATTGAAAGGATTTCAAATTTTGATGTTTTGATTTTCATTTGTTTTTCCATTTTCCGATGGATGCACGAAAAAATGGTAATATAATAATTTGTTGCGTCATCAAAGAGGCATACAGTGCATTTTTCAAATTTGGATTTAGTCTATTGGTTCAGGAGATATATCGTTTTAAAGCGAACCGTGTGTTTCGGAAAATCTTGAAAAACCCACTTGGAATTTTCCGACCCTGCTCAATTTCAATAGGCTTCGTCTCTCTCTCCTTGATAGAGTTTTTTTTCTCAAAAAATGAAATCGATCGGACCACTTTTGCGATTTGTAGAGTGGTTACAAGAAACTTCCGGTGAAAAATCGAAAAAACCCGGAAAAACCACCTTAGAGTTTTCCGATTTTCTTCATATTTCAATGACATGATATTGTTTTGAGTACAATAAGATGGCGAAATTTCAAGTCGATATGTCAAAGGGTTCCGGAGATATATCGATTTATGATTAACACAGAGTACAGACAGACAGACAAACAGACCACACACAAAAACCAAAGTTGCTCAAAATTCGATGGGGATCATTTTCTCCAAAGTAACTATACCTCTATCTCGCTTAGTTTCCGAGATAGCATTTTTGGCAAGGCCGTAGTATACTCCACTATGTATAGCGTCGTATAACAAGAGTCAATTTGACACTTCTGTTATCATGAGTTTATGGATTTGTATACTCAAGATTGTATAATATTGTGTAGCTGCCTTTGAAAGTGGAGCATAATTGGAATATAAGGAAATGTATTAGATCCTAGGAATTCAGAAAGAAAATTGTTACCAGATGACGTTTCAGTGACGTCTTTTTACGTCAGTCGAATGACCAAGGTGACGTCAGGAGTTGACCCAATGACGTTATATTACTCACCTTTCTTGACGTGAGTCACTTACCTGACTGACGAGATACTGACGTCGAAATGAGGTAAAAATGACGTTCAAATTTGGTGATTGAACATGAAAAGTTTTCTCAAACACAGTGTTGTTTCTTCCCCATAACCTTCAATTTAATTTCATCTGATTATGGACTTGATACCCAAGATGTATCTAAACCACCTCCATGGATTTCTCGTACACCTACATTACCAAGCAGTTATGGAAATTGTACCAGAAGTCACGTTCTATATTTTTTTACAGATCGAAATGATTATCAACAGAGGGGAAGACCTTCAGAACAGCAACCTTCTCCTTCAAATTATCCGCCTCCTCTTATGTCACTAGAAGCTCATGGTGGTGATCATTATCGAACAAATAGAGGTATGAAAATAGTCAAAAAATCTAGTACCCAACATAATTATTTAATGTACCATGACTTTAAAACTAAGATGAATCACCTTATCGTTATGTAAATACCACCACTCGGATTTCCTAAACATATTTATTTGGCATTATTATATAAGATCCATTGAAAAACAAAACTGTTTGAACTAAAATCAAAGAACGTCATCTTCCAGGTCAAGGCCATCTTCGTTAACTTTTTCGGAATCAATCATCAATCTTCTAAATCAAGATTTTCAACCAGGTTTTCTTGGTCCCTTTGCGGCAAAGGTCGAGTTTTAAAATCCAGTTTTGGTTAAAACTAAACAATATAAGGGAAAATTTAATTATTTTCTCAACAAATTTAGCGACGGTTAACATCCATAACTGATTATTGCCAGACCCCACTTACCTCAATCGATTGTAAGTCAGTCTGAACGCAATATAATGGACGCTTCCAGGTATACCTAGAAGCAATGTTGTCAAAACATTCCAATTAATACCCAAAATATTACTGGAATACTGCGACTGCGGTCACCAAAGGGCCGTTAAAGGTTAAACTATTATAGTTGGTAGCAAATTATTGAGACATACATGTATGGATATTATCTATCTCAAAGAAAAAACTCACAAGATGATCTGGTGATTCAGCCATTGCGTATTCAAAACGGCAAAGTTTTATAACTGTACCTACCTTTTATATATATGATAGACCTAGATTCTCAAGACTGAGATATTCTAGGGAAATTCGTGAATCGATTGTCAGCTGATCCAAGACAGACTGTTTCAACTTGCCATATGTCTCATCAGTTGCACTGGCCAGCTAACAATCGATTCACGAAGGGTACCTCCATATATCAAACAAGTCGTAGCCCTGAGGGGGCAGAAGGACGATCTAGCCTTCATAGCCATCTAGTGGCTCAAGTGCAAAGGTGTATGGTAGATTCATCAATCATACCTTGCGAAGACAATGCTTGATCCGCATGGTAAAATCTGCAGTTTCTTCATTTGTCCAAATTTAACAAAGTACCTACCATTCGAAACCTGTTACATCATTGATAACGAATATCCCGATGAAAAACTCAAGGAATGTTTCGCTGTCCAAATCTTCATTATGATCAATTTTTTTTTCTTCTTTGTTAGTGCAAAAAAGTCCGAAAATAAGGTGGCTGCTTACCCCATTACTATAAATAACAAAAACGCTTCCTGGTGATATCTCATGGATGTTGTGGAAGCTACTATTTCTCTGGAACAATAATTATTCTTATTTTTTCAATATAACTGTCTGTAAGACCTTTTTTCCCCCAAAATTCTACTCTGTAGCAGTTCTGACGTCACCTCTACAAATTTCCGTGCAGATAGTACATTCACGTGAAGTTTAATCATTTAAATTGTCTAGAATCGGCGTACTTGATTTCCTTCGATTTTTGTTCAATTTCCCAAATGAAATTTCTCCTTGAGTAGAAGAATTATAAGAAATTTGATATTTTGGGAATATTCGTTATACTGAATCATATTGATGTGTTGAATATACACGTCTGGCAATATAGAGAAACCGTGTACAAGCGTTATTGCCATCTATTTGTGTGGCAAACGATAATCTTTTCGGTCGGGCCGAAAAATTGACTCGCTACAAGAAGGGGTTAGGAATACAAAGCGTATGGCAACATGGCTTTTTTCTTTTCCTTCAAAATGCTCATGCACACGGTTTGTTCCTTGGAAAATTATGCTTGCCACGTCGTATTTTAGAGACTGAATAAACCATAATTTCAACTTATGATTTAACAAAACCATATGATCTCTTGTCCTGGGTAAGTTAACGATTTCTATGCTCGCAGTGATGAACCTATGGCCCAAATCATCATCAAATCATGAGTAGAAGAGTAGGACTTGGATTCTGCAATACTGTGTTGCCATGTTTATTTGTAGATGTAGAACTCAGAAGTTCAATAAGCTGTGAAGACTGCGGTTCTTTCGGATCCCGTATAATTTTCAATAATAAAATCAATTCTCGTTCCTATCTTTACGAACTTCCAGAACATAGTTCTTGATTGAAAAATGTTATGTTTCGCCAAAATCTCATGGACAAGCGGAGGGTTTATGTATATAAACCTTAGTTCATTTTTATCACGCTCTCCTCATCGCCACAAGTTTCAACTTTTGGGGAGTCTGGTTTCTGACTTTCAAGAAGCAATCTACATTTTCTTCTTACAAATTATATCTGACTTTGGTTATAGGTATTGGTCACATAAGAATATTATATGTTAGTGGCTTACATCATTTAATGCTGGATTAATTTTGAAGATCAAATCTCATTTGATTATTTTAATGGACAATTTTATGTGGAAGGATCATTTTAAAATGATTTTGAATATTGAACCTATATGCTATAGCCCATTATGTTTCCAGATCACAGGTATCCTCCAAGAGACCAGCAGCCGTCAACATCGGAGGCATTCAAGGTCAACGTGAATCTGACCCATACTGACCAACCACGCAACCCTACACATTACCCTCCTGCAGGCCACCACCCCTACCCCCCATACAACCCACCATCTTACCCCTATCAGGGCCAATCCCCGCATTACCCTCAACAAGGACAACCACCGCATTACCCCCATCAAGGCCAACCACCGCATTACCCCCATCAAGGCCAACCACCGCATTACCCCCATCACGATCAACCCCCGAATTACCCCTACCAGGACCAACCTCCGTATTACCCTCCGCGTGGTCATGCGCCGCATTACCACCAACCGAGTCCATACCAAAGGCCTGCACCACATGATCAAAATCAAACTGCGAGGTCTGCAAATTATGGGAACAGGCAGACTTGGCAAAACGACCGTAGAGACAACCAAGGCCAGAGGGGCGGACAGAATCGCAGGGGCGGCCCAGATAGGCGGGGTAACGGGGGCAGAAGAGAGAGGAGCGGACAAAGAGGAGCGCAGACAAGGTACCGTAGATCTGCCAATAGGAAGACAGGGAACGATTCGGGAGACGATTCTGATGAGTCTGTCGCGTCGGTCGCATCGTCGAAACGTTACTAGGTACCTATATATTTTCCAAATTCGATAATTTGAAATGGCTTGAATCCACTGTTTGTCTCTGTCACCCTCCCCCATATGTTTTGCAATGAATGACTGTGATTTTTTGAAGATTATACATAATGAAAATCTATGATGGAATTCAATCCATGTCTCTATAATAGAAAAATCCTTGAACTCGTCAATTTTATAACAAAAATCTATTTTTTTAGTAACATTTTTCAACTACCCGTCAACCTACTGCGCTACAGATCAACCCCTTCGGAATTTTCTAAGTGTACAAAGGGTCAAGTTGAACTTTTTTGAGAGGTATTTTGAATCTATTTAACGGTCTATTTTTTTAATTAGAGCAGTTGAAATGGATTTCTTGTCCAAATAATTGGTAAAGGTGGGTACTGTTTCATTGTACATAGGCGTAGACGGAAATTCAATACAAAGAAACTGATTTTAAATTTACTACAAGTGATACAATTGGATGACTAATTGAAACGAAATCATTTTGAGAAGAGCAGTAAGAGCTTCTATGAAAGTGACGATTATTCACTAGCTTCCCGCGATTATCAGTGAAATCAAATTTGCTATTGAAAATGTCTTGAAGATCATATATTAGTTCATAGACCAGCTGAAACTGCACAATAAATTACTGATTCAATATGCACTATGTTAGTAGCTAAGTCTATCAAGTTAATGAACGTGATTTGCATAGCTTTTCCAATCTATCATAGCTCCAAGATGTTTTCATGGCTTGAGAAAAGATGATGTCTGAGTAGTTGTCATTAATTGGTATACATTATTGGAATGAAAACTCGTTGGAAGTTATGATCAAGTTATTTTGACAGTTCAAAATAATTCAGCTGTTTTTCTAATTTTTTTTGCAGGTTAATAATGACGCTTATCAAACCTTATCTGAAAATCTGCAAAGGTCATATTCTCGGATGGCTCATACAGTCCACTTACACACAGATTCTACAAGCATTAGCAAAGTCATCATTAAGTTCATTGATTGTTATATCCTGTTTAGGTATCGCCATTCCATTTCTGGGATATACTGATTTTTTCATTACCAAACATTAAAAGACTAGCTATCATTGCTGATTATATCAAAATCTAGGAAGAGGTCATTAATTATGAAAGATTGTGAATTTTTCAGTATTTGACACTTCAATTTCCGATTTCTGGTAAAAGCGACTCCAACTTTGGAATTTTAAATGGAACATCCTGTATATTTTTTTATTTGGTGAAGACACGATTCCTATATTTTTTGTGTATTTTTGTTTTGGATATCTTTGATTTTGCATGAATTCATTGACATAATAAATATATCTATCAGCTGGTATATTTCACTTTCTTTTATTACGGTGATTTGGTCTTTGACTAAAAAAATATAAAAATATACAGGGTGTTCCATTTAAAATTTCAAGGATGGGGCTAATTTTTAAGGAAGAAGTTCTGGAAAAGTGAAAAATATTAGTGACATTATTGATGATATCACATTTTTCATATTCTAACAGATTATGAAAAATGATCAGATAATGAAGATAATTCAATTCCACAACTCTTGTGAATTAATACAACAAATTATATTTCAACTTGCTATTGGAAGTTGAGTTTAATAGTTTCCACAAACATGTTGAATGCTATTTTTTATGGTTATTTGATATTTTTATTATGTCGAGAAACCATTTCTAAAATTTCACATTATTTCATTTAGCCAGTTGCTTTTTAAAATAGTTTCAACATTGAAGTGGAATGAGTAATATGTTTGGATTTTGTTGCATAATGATGATTAAAACGACAAAATCGATCTGAATATAAATGGCAGTTGAGTTGATACCATTTTATATGGATACTGTATATTGGTGTGACTTTGATAATAATTTTTAAATATAGTCACGGGGCCACTAGTTCGTTGATATAGTTAATCAGTAGAAATAATATTAAAATGGCAGAATGACTTCAGTCGATGGCCACATGAATATTGTTCTATAAAGTTCAATTATCATTATTCAATGATAATTTTTATTATCATTATATTATTTGATAATTGCGCGATAAACAATATAATATGGAAAATATGACTATATAAATGTATCGGATAAGGTGACTACTAATTAGTCTTATGAAGATTACCTATACACATTGATTATATTATTATAGTTCCACTTGGAACAATGTTGAGGATAGTCATAAATATTATTGATATTTTAAAGGACGCTGATCAAAATAATGATGTTCATAAATGGTGTTCAGTAAATATTGAAAAGTAAAAATGAACTTCGCACTATTTCTCTAATTATTGTGCGATTTGTAAATTTCCTACATGTCGGCTACATTGCAAATATACACTCACAGGCAGAAAAAACCGGCAATCAAAAAATTTTGCCAAATCGTTTGCCCTGTAACTCTTCTAATGCTTGTCCGATTTTGGTGAAATTTCGACCAAATCGTATATTCATGTTTCGGAATGTTAGCATGAATATTAGGTCCTGAGGGATGCTGACGGCTTGATCATTATACAGGGAAGAATGAAAGTTACTTTTCCACCCTTAACCTCCTATAGCGCCCTGTGGAAAAGGTGAGTGGTTGAACTTAGCTTCATTATATTTTGGATTGAAGTGTGGTCCCTTCTTAACACAATGGTTCTTGATTCACGTCGATAACCAATTTTTAAAAGGAGATACAAGTGTTATAAGAAAGTATGGATTTTTATTATTTCTATTAAAAATAATTCTCCAACCTTCCGCTTCATCTTGTTTTGAATTGAATTGTGATCCTTTTTCGGCCTTTCTTAACACAATGGTTCCAGATTCATGTCAATATCTTCTTTTTAAGAGAAGATACAAGTGTTTCAAGAAAGTATGGATTTTTGAAATTTTTATTAACCATAAACAATAATTCAGAACCTAGGAACCCTTAGGGATGAACTCCAGAGGCTCATCCCAGCGAGCACAAAAACATCTCAGAGATGTTAAAAGTACGAGATTTCGAGACATTGAACCTCCACTGCGATGTTCTGTTCACACATGAGTAGAACTATTATAGAACAGCCAATGTCCGCCGCAGGCGGCAATTATCGAGATGTCCTTGATATGTCACAAAACTACCTTCTCCCTAGTTCTTTTTAAAGCCTTTTCATGAAAACATTTTCAACGCGTCTTGCGCACATTAAATCGCTGTAAAAAAAACATTTTCGTTGTACTTTTCTGAAGCCTTTTGTGAAAATGAACTTTTGCATTAGGATTCCATTTCCCTTGAATGAAAAAATGCATTAAAAATAGATTGAACATAAAAATATTTTCTTGATATGAAATTACCTTCTTAATCGGTTTCTGAGTAGTGCTTACTACACACAGACATATAATTGGAAATAGATTTCCCACTTTTTGAAATGTTCTCCACAATGCATAATTTTGCAACTGCGGAGAAGCTGTGTATTGATGAGAATTCGTACATTTATATATTGATTACACTGAGGCACCGAACAACACATCTTGCATCTGATGGTCATTATTACAAACTAAATAAGTCTTCTAACACAATAAACTTCACCAAATTCCTTTCTGTTCGTTAGCAGCGTGATGTAAGTGTGCCAATTGCGAACAAGAAGAACAAAATCGAAAACAAATCAGAATTCATCGTATTGTGACGTAAGCATGAGACGTTGTGGTGGGGCAAACAAAGAAAAGGCACAAAAGAACAAAAACAATACTTTCAATATCCTTCTAAGACTTCTTTGGGAAGTGCATATTACGCCTCAAAAAAACATCCTCATGCCTACATTTCTTAAACATCCCAAAACATCCCAGGGATACCTCTCAGTAGGCAAACAAAGAAATGCCACAGAAGAACAAAAACAATACTTCAATATCCTTCAAAGACCTCTTTGGTCAGTGCATATTACGTCTCAAAATAACATCTTCATGCCAACATTTTCAAAACATCCCAGGGATGTTTGTGCTCGCTGGAATTCGCCTTGGGCATACTCGTTATTGACTACAGGTCTACTTCGTTTGTTTTTTGTAAATGAGAATTTTTCCGGTAAGTGGTAAGAAAAGAGTGACATTAATTTTTCAAGTAGTTCATCGATAAGTTTATGTATGTTCTGATTATTGTTAATGAAAATTGAAAAATGCCATACTTTCTTAAAACACTCGTATCTTCTCTCAAAAATAAGATATTGACGTGAAACAAAGACTATTGTGTTAAGAATGGATCACACTTCAAACCAAAGCATAATGAAGCCAAGTTCAATCACTCAATTCCGCCACAGGGCGTTTAGAAGTAAAGGGTGAAATAGTAACTTTGGTTTTTCCCTGTATAATGATGAAATCATCAGATTTTCACGGAAACTAATATTCAGACCAACATTGCAGTACAAAAACATACGGTTTGATCCAAATTTCACAATAATCGGACGAGGATTAAAAAAGTTACAGGGTGAACAATCTGGGCAAATGTTTTGGTGGCCGGTTTTTATTGTCGGTGAGTGTGTATACTAAATAGGTAAATGTTGCAGGAACAGAAAAGAAATATTACAAATGTAATTGTTCATTCTTCAATTATTTGATCAACAGAGAGTTGATTTGCTGGATTGAGAATATTTGATGATTTATAAGCTTTTCAACAGTTTTTCAACTTCTGTCAGTAATTGAATAATTACTGGACTTGATTGTTGCAAGGGATTCCATTTTCAATGCTATAGCTTTTGTTAGGGGGGTTTACTTGTAGGTTGTTTGAAAAAAGGTGAATTGGGTTTTATTTAAACTTTTCTGGGTCTTATAACTGAGATAACAGCTAGCTTAAAAGTTCTGGGACAACCCTGTTTAGTGTTTACTTGTTATGAGAAACTGTAGAGAATAAGGTCATTTCATAACTTAATCTACTAATATGTTTTTAATAATATTATAGTTTTGATACTAACAATGTTGTGTATTGAAAGAGATTTATATTACTGGGGATTAATAAAGGTTTACTTACTATTTCTTTCATTTCTTTCGATTATCCGACAATATGTACTTGAATTTGTTTACCTTATAATGAAAACAAAAGTGTCAGAAGATTATTTTTATTTCATGAATCTTATATTTTCATCAACATAAAAAACAAAATTCAATATTTGAATTACATGATTGTACTGATGAATGATAATAATAATGAAAACTGCTTGTTGATACTAAATTAAAACGTATAACTACAAACTACAAGTTATTTGTACTAAAATAAAAAAATAAATATATTTTTATACAGCAACTACTTCTAGGAATCAAATGAATGATCAATAATAACTTGACGTTTTCCATCGCCGTTGGCAAGAAAATTCTAGGTACACGTTTTCTAAATAAAACCCTATCGTCTTGTAGGGTTCGGATCTTCTAATTTTCTCCAAACAACCTGAGAACAAATTTAAAATATACATATTTTATATATTTATATAGCGGGGTGATATACATGGTGTCGTCCCCCACTCCTGAGACCAAAGTGATATGATTAATCCAAAATTACCTTTATACTAAAATGCTCCATTTAGCCGCTACAGGGCGTTGGAATTGATTTTATTTTGTGCAACACCCTGTCTTCTGAATTCATGCGGAAATGTATGCCACATATTGAATATCACTGATATGATTAGACTAGCAGATCTCTTGCGAAAAGTCTTCTATTTATCGAGTAACCCAATCATGGAGTATAACTTAATGAAACCTTGAAATTATATTACATTCATCGTTCTCACATGTGTTTTGAAGATTTACGACACTCTCCATTGGTCGAGAGAAAAAATATTGGGATTAATGTAAAAAAATTGGAATTTCTTGTTTTCTCTAATTAGGTTGATATATTACGACTATGATAGGAGGTATGGAAACGTTTTTTTTTTCATATTATAGAGAAAACATTCGGCTACAATTTGATATAGATATATGTATTTTTCGAAATTTTCGAATATGTTAAAAATACAAAAGAATAAGAGGATTACGCTTTTTTATCACATTACAGTTTGCTTCAACACCCAATAAATTGCTTATTCAACCAATGAATGATACTTTTTTTTCACATCAAAAACTGCGGAAATTCATCACAATCATTTTGTATCGATTATATAAAGATCTATCTTGAACAGTTTTCTCGATATAAGCGTTTTACTGTACACCTGTAACTACCGCCCGCTACTCGGTATGCGAGACGATCATTCCAGGAAAAACGACCAACTATTATTATTGTGCTCTGTTTCTATTTGATTTACTTACGTTTACGAACAAAACAAGAAAAGGAACACTTTTTAGATTGAAAAGGAATATTTCTGAGATAAATTATGAACATACAAAAATGGATATATATTTATATAAGGCAATATATTGAGAATTCGCATTCTCTATGTAATGAGAATATCGACTCTTTTTCAGTTTATTCAATAGAAAACAACTACTTTTTAGATTGCTGATTACAAGGCATCTTGTTGGTGAATACGTCAAGAAATCAGAGCGAATGGTATCTGAAGAAAATGCATTCAGATATGGTCAAGCCGAAAGATTACGAGATGACACTGATGTTAAAAAGATGGAATGATTGATAGAAAATACTTGGATAAATCCATTTGATACATCTAACCCTATCAATAATCTTGTATATATAGCAACTGGTGAAATAATGCGAGAAGATATCAAAATATCTCTCAAGGAGAGAGCCGGAACTGAAAACTCAGGTTTACCGAAATACGCAGTTAGTTTCTGGAAGACTGTCAGTCGTTTCATAATTTCAAACTTCACTGATGATCGAATTGGCTATAGGAAGTCAGGAAAGAATAATGAAATGAATCCAAAGTTTATTTTCAGAAGAATTATAAGTGCTGCTCAGTTCCAAGATTTATAGATTTCACTAACATTTTATCCTACGAACTCACACCAGTCCCACTCCCTCTTTTTCATGAAGATGGGACTAAGAGAAAAACATCTGAATCAAAACTTTCCAAAAAGTTAAAACTAGATTGTGACATATTGGTATGGAGTTTCGATTTTCTAGATGGAATAATGGTAATTCTGAACGACATGCATGAGAAATCTTTCAAGATTTTCAACGATTTGGCAGTGAAGATACTTCAAAGAATGCTTCTCATTTTCGAAAAATATTCTCGTTGTGATTCAGTTCATCTGATATTCGATAGATATCATCTCAATGATTCCATAAAAGGCATGGAGAGACAATGACATCATGATATGGGAATATTCAGTATTACAGGAAGTCGAGCAGGGCCCAACTACAGGAGTTTTCTGAAATCTACACCGGATAAAATGGCACTCATGAAATTTTCGAGCCTGTATTTGCCGAATCATGTTATAAGGTTGGTCTCGCGAACTAGATGAATGTATGTACCTATATTTTTATAATTGAATTTTCAATTTTCTGGTCAGAAATGCATCAATTGACAAAGACTATATGTCACGGTGCATCAACCATGAAGGAGCTGACACCCGTTCAATATTCCAGATAATAACTTCCATCGAAGAAAATAGTTCTGTTATTATTAAAACTGACGATACTGACGTACTAGTCCTTCTCTTATATTATCATTGGAATAACGAAGTAATGAACAGTTCTGAATTTTTGGTCAATAATCAAGTACAATGAACATTTGATATATATTATTACCAACCTTAAATTCATATTTTATTTTATTCGTAGATCTTTTCATCCAACTAGAATATGGGCCAGTAGTCAGATTGGGCTGATGAAAAAACATGACCCTTTACAATATGGATGGCAAAGAAAGGAAAATCTGATACAATCTTGTATGAGACCATAGATGTATGAGACAAATGCTCCAGTACCAGACAATGTCATAATTTTTTTTTCTCTATTCTGCTAAAGAAAAACATGTTCAACACAGAAGTGCATTTGCAATAAATGTACATTTTTCAGTGTTTCGTGAGATGTTTCTTGATAAAAACCTCCTGAATTTCATTTGTGACAACAACTATACATTCAAAAATATCTAGTCAAATATAAATTGCTCACCATTTCGACAAAATGAGCATATTTCAATGATGAATACGGTCTAAGCGCACGACGAGTGAAAGTTCTATCGAATGTTTACGCTTAGGATGGTTTATTGTGTATACATTTTTGCTCCGACGAACCGCCTCGACTGTGGTGCGCTGTCCTAAAAAATTAATTGTAGAACGAAAACTGTTAAGAATATCCACAACATTGATCGAGATGAAATGTTTCTCATGAAATTCCGCAGTTTTTGATGAGAAAATATGATGTAGTTTATTTGGAAAATAATCGAGTTCTTGGTTGTTGAAGATTGATAACATGTTGAAAAATAAGAATAGTTTTTGTAAGTGATGAAATTTTTTAATATTCAGATGATGAAATATGGATTGTCAATACACCATTCGATTGGTAATACTCAAGGCTACAAAATGAGCCCGCAAATATTCCTCTATATTCATCAGTTTTATTGTTAGACTGCTTTTTTTCAGACATATCGAAAAACGCGATTTTGGTACATTTTTCCCTGTAGAAAATCTCTCAACCATGGGGCGATGTCGTAATTCCTCATTATATATGTGGATGATGATGACAAAAAATGTCCTTGAGGTTTCATTAAGTTATACTCCATGATTGGGTTATTGAACGATAGACCGCACCGTCTGCCGTACTAGATGGATGATTTCATATGAAACTTAGGTATGAACCTACAATAATTAAATAATTCTGAAGATATCAGGTATGCATCAAATTGAATTTGGCCAGTCAACTTGCAAACCAATATGAATATCACAAACTTTCAGGAGTGCTGAAAGTTAGGTATTGAATGAGGGAATAGAAAACAACTTTGAGATCTGTTCAGTGGTGTACTCGGAAAAAGATCTATCAATTTTTTAACAGTACTCCAAATGGTAACATCCTGTGTGTCAATCAAAATGGTATGAAATGTTTTTGATGCATAATAGTCCTTTTAGTGTGCATACAATATATCAGAACGATATTTATAAACAATATTGAAATACACGAAAAAATTACAAAATAAAATTCAATTCCGACGCCCTGTAGCGGCAACGGAACGTTTAGGTTTAGAGGTAAGTTTGGGTCATTCATCTCACTATGGCCTCAGAAATCTATGGTATCATTTCGTACAGACCTTTCGGGGATATCCTGTATATTTTCGATATATTTAATTTCAACTTTGAACAAATTGCCTGATTATATTGTCATTTATCATTCACTGCACGCGAAGGTAGTGTTTTGAATATTCACTTACGAGATGGTAAAGTTGTCAAATGAAGCCATTACCGTACTAGTGTGAATTAGAGGATATACAGGTTGTATCTGGATAACACCGAAAAAATTCGATTCCTTGTGATATTTTAGGAAATGAAGTTCATGTGAACATGTGTCCTAACTTGCTTCGTTTTCGAGATACAGGGTATCAATATTTCCATGAAAAATAGTTTTTTTAAATTTATTTCTCAATTGTCTTTCCATCAAACGTTGTGGTTTTGTTGACATGGAGCTTCTTCTGGTAAATGTCATTGTACGGGTTATTTGTGTGATATTAGTATCAAGATTATTTTTAGAGGAAACAATATTAATTCGAATCGAATCCAAATTTTACTGTAGGTGCTTTCAAGACTTCCATTGAGACAACTCAATAACCCCAATCACAAACATTTTGAAATTTTAGGGCTTCCTCACTCTTCAACCATACTGAATTTTGGCACCATGAAAGCTTATACAGGGAGGCTATAAATAAAAACAATTGATACTTCCGACTTCAGCATCCTGTATCTCAAAAACAGAGCAAGTTAGTACCCTAACAACACAGGGATGTCTCTTTTTTGTCCGGTGGTACAAGGACATGATTGGGGCATCCAGGGGATGTCGCGCAGTAGTTGTCCAGTGGACATCCCGCCCGGTAAGTTTGGTCAGAGAGTTTTATTCTGGTCCACTAATAGCATGGCGTCAGCCCACTGTTATCATTTGTGTAGTAATTTAGGCTTTCGAGGATGTTTTTCCTTCCTCTCGAGCCCGAGGCTGTCGTTAACAATTCCTCTACGAGCGAATAATGCGCATGCGTCCATATTGTATCACGTGATTATTCACTGTGACCAATCTGGCAATGAGGTTTGGGAATGGTTCGAAAACTTTGGGCTCTCCTGGCTTGACCGACTGGTCGTTAGTGTCACGTGACTGATCACAATGAAGTACAAATGGTTTCGACCGGTCGCATGTATACAAAAACCTTAACACCTGTAAACTTCACTGACCAATCGATAGTATATCGAAAATAACACATAACCTGTTATTTTGAAAACCAGATATTTTAGGAATCATCTATCTGAGTCATTGATGAATTCCTCGAGACAGATTTTGTTAGATGAAATAATAATATCAGAAATAATACACTCATCCGGTGATGTTATGCTATTTTTGTTGAAAAATAGTTCGAATCACTCAATTTTGAAGACTGTAGATGACCTTTCTGATTTTTTGAGTAATTCGATTTTTTGAGGATGCATAACCTTTATATCCTTAACAGGTTGAGTGCCATGAGAGACCAACATGGTCTCGCACATACTTCTGACTCTGTGGCCGCGTGAGACCAATATGGTCTCGCATATATCCACAACTGATTTGGCTGTATATCTCCACAGCGGTCTCTGCAGCATTGTGAACTAAATGGCGTTCGAAACAGCGCGGCCTGGTGGTCCAGAGAAATATTTTGGCCTGTGGATATGAGAGACCAAATTGGTAGTACGTGGCTAGGAAATGTTAGTAATCTTTTTTTTTCCTCACGCGAATATTTAGGTACTTTTATTAGTTTTCTTCATTTATACATCATGAACATGTAACAAAATCATTCAGAATATTCTGAGAATGAAATAAATATCATTCATTGAACAATATACCAACTGTTAGGAACTGCACTAGTCGACGGTATATCATTTCTGAATGTTTGAATTTTTCTAGCACCGACTCTCTTTCTGATTTTGGGACGTTTTCTCGGTTGTTTGGAAGATGCATTCTTCAACGATGACGAAGAATCTACTGATGACTCACATTGATATTCATCAGAAAGATACACGTTTCCAAACAGTGATTCCTCATCTTGATTGTTTCAGTTTTCGTCTTCATCGGACAACACTTCCTAACATAACTTCGTCAATTGCTTTTGTTTTTTCTCGTACGAGGACATGATGTGACTCTTGCAGCATCACGAGACAAGTTGAGCCGGTCTGCCGATCTTCCGCTACAATTCTCAACATGCAGACATGCGCATAGCGTAGTGACACGTGGGTCTCGCACAGCCGCCTGAACAAAATGGTCGAATGAGGGGCCGTGTGAGACCAATGTGGTCTTCAAAATTTAAGCGCCATTTTCAACCTTCCAAAAACTCCGGCACATAAAAAATAAAAGTAAATAACAGTATGTTAGTATCTGATGTTTAGGGCAAAAATAATGTATCGGCCTCTGGAACCGATATTTTTCGATACATGGTGGCACTCAACCTGTTAAACCGCATCGACCATCAAAAACGCATCGACCATAAAAAAGCTCGGGCGAAGTGATCTTGGATCGGTCGGCCTTGGTCTTTAATACCGTTGAATCTTGACATTTGAAGTTGGGTCAATGCGGTCATCAATCAAAAACCACGTGGTCGAAGTGGTCGCGACCGGTCGGCAATCGAAAACAATCATGTAATGAAAGAACTTTCTCCAATACTCACGTTGCACATCTCCCGCACCAAGGCCTTCTCTCCGTCGTCCATGTCCTGCGAGGTGGTGTCCGACATGCTCTCGACGCCGCCTATCTCGGCCGGCAGGTGGCTCTCCCTCTCGAGCTGCTCGCGAACTTCGAGCACCTACATAGGCAGAATTCAAAATGTTCATTCAGAAAATATTCAGTATAGTAATACTATAAGTACTTCAAAATATCCGGGTTATACATCGATAACTTCCCAGCGAGCACAAAAACATCTCGAAGATGTTAAAATTACGAGATGTCGAGATATTGAATAAGTAGTTAGTCCGTCTCTATAGCCCAGCTCCTCCCCTCCACCTTTCTTAAAAATTTATTCTTCATTATTTTCTCATGATCATTCTTTTTCATTCAATATCGACTTTATCAAATGTATTGCATTACAATACAGGCTGATTCACGGTGGATGGCACATTAGACGTTTCTGGTGAACCGGACAACGGATCATTTTGAAAATTCAATGGAGGGCATATTCGGACATTCTCTAGCCAACTAAAATATTTTCGACAATGCGGTGTTGCCGCTTCTATTAGAAAGCAGTAGCAACTTTGATTTTTCAAATGGAACACTGTATTTTATTGCATTTTTAGATTCTCCCTGAAGAGCTGATTTCATCGATGTATCACACTTGGGGTCTAGCGGAAATGATTACAGAGATATAGGGTGTGAAAAATCGACATTTTTCAACTTTAGGATTTTTTTCGTGTCGAAACTATTCATCATTGGTCAAAACGGCTGACATGTCCCTATCTCAACTTTTGATTAGCTATCTACTGATATTTAATTGGGACATATACCGGGTGATCAAGATTCTGAATTCTGCACCACCCTGTATTTGTTTCAATTAAATGTCAGTAGATAGTTGATCAAAAGTTGGGATAGGGACATGTGAGCCGTTTTGACCAATTATGAATGGTTTAGACACAAAAAATTCTTGAACTTGGAAAATGTCGATTTTTCACACCCTATATCTCTGTAATAATTTTCGCTAAACCCCAAGTGTGATACATCGATGAAATCTGCTCTTCAGGGAGAATCTAAAAATGCAATAAAATACAGAGTGTTCCATTTGAAAAATCAAAGTTGCTACTGCTTTCTAATAGAAGCGGCAACACTGCATTGTCGAAAATATTTTAGTTGGCTAGAGAATGTCCGAATATGGCCTCCAATAAATTTTCAAAATGATCCGTTGTCCGGTTCACCAGAAACGTCTAATGTGCCATCCACCGTGAATCAGCCTATATTTTACTTCAATAAGTGCACTAGTGCAGAAATGGTTAGGAGTGTGACAATGTAGCATAAATATAAATACACATTTTCCTAGAAATTGACATGCGAAATGGATGATGAAGAAGATTTTTTTTGTTCTTTTTATCTCTTGGGGCACACGAAAGGGAATTTCTATAATGTTCGGAGAATATCGTGCGTACCTAGGGAGGAGCATAGGGAGAAGAGGTGGGTATTGAATTTTTTTAAACTTGAAATTATCAAATAATTTCAGAGCTGAAGAATTGTTCGATATATCTCAAGGTTGACGACGAAGGGATGTGCTGACTGGTCTTGTCGAGTTCACGACTGGTATTGCTAGTGATGAAATAATAGCAGAGATTTCTGAAGAACATTTTCTGTGGAAGTAAGTATCTATAAAGTTGAAGATTGCCGACTTTTCTACCTCTGTAGATACAATATACCGAAAAATCAGAACTGCCCGACCTTTTGCATTCATGCCCCTCTTCTGGGTTACGGTTAGACTGAACTATACTGCATATCGCAGGATATCGCTATATCGCTCGAATATTTGTTTTTTTTCCGAAACGGCATTTTGTTAGGCATAATATATTGTGCAACCTTGTCATAATTTTACTGACCCTGTATCTGTTACGGTTCACGAGATCCCAATGATAAGGCTCGAATCACAGTAACTCTGTACAATAGATTATCATAAGTACCTGCAGCGTCAGGTGAAACCTTCCGTATCTCACTATCCGCTATATCATTATTATTAATTGGAATGTACAAAAGATTCTCATAAGTACCTGCAGCGCCAGGTCAAACTGTCCTTATCTCACTATCCGCTATATTCCTAACTGAAACGTACAATAGATTCTCATAAAGTATCTGCAGCGCCAGGTTAAACCGTCCGTATCTCACTATCCGCTATGGCGCTATGTTCTTAACTGGAACGTACAAAAGTTTCTCATTAGTACCTGCAACGCCTGGTCAAACCGTTCGTATCTCACTATCCGCTATACTCTTAACTGGAACGTACAATAGATTCTCATAAGTACCTGCAGCACCAGGTCAAACCGACTGTATCTCACTATCCGCTATGTTCTTAACTGGAACGTACAATAGATTCTCATAAGTACCTGCATCGACAGGTCGAACCGTCCGTATCTCACTATCCGGTGTATTCCTAACTGAAACGTACAATAGATTCTCATTAGTACCTGCGCAGCGTCAGGTCAAATCGTCCGTATCTCATTATCGTCCATATTCTTCGAGCAGTGACAGGTCGAACCGTCCGTATATCTCACTATCCGCTATATTCTCAACTGGAACATACATACAATAGATCCTCTCTAGATTCAATTTTTACACGCATTTTCTCGCAAACGGGTGACATTATCAACGTTCTGAAAAAACTGGCTTGTAAGGAAAATAGTGTTGCACAAAAATTATTCATTAAAACTACTTCTCAATAAACCACCCCTTAGCACATATACCACTTACTTTCTTTTTCAATTCACACCCTCATATTATTATGGCATGTTTGAGTAGCTTATTAGCTTACGAAAACGATGATGTTTCACACTCTCCATGAATACGCCCTAGATCAAATCAGCAACAGTACAGAAAAAAGCAATTAGAATTATGGCAGGTGCATCATCCAGAGATCATTGCATGCCATTATTCATACATTATGATATTTTAACATGGCCAAGTTTGTATATCTATCTAACTTTAATAAATTTTCAAGTCTATCTAAAAATGAACATGTTCATGATCATTTCACTAGGAACTGTGATCAATTGCATCTACATCGTAGTAGATTGTCAGTATCAGAGAATCATCCTATGTAGTAATATGGAGTTAAGCTGAATAATAATCTCAGGGGAGACATTTAATTGTCTTCAAATCTTGATGTGTTTGAAAGGCAACTCAAATTATTTTTATTGCAAAAAGCATATTACTCAGTCGACGAATTTCTCCCGGAATCATGATATGAGTAAATCATTCTAGTGATCAGATTATTTTAAAGATACTTCAATGTTTAATGTTGTTTGTAAATATTTTTCTAGTATATCATTGATGTTTTATACCCATTCGAATTCAATTTTTTTTTTAAGTTGAGGGTTAGTGTTAATCATATTTCATTGTATGACGTGTTGAATTAAAGTGCTCAAAGAAACAAGTGGACCACTGAAATATTTGACAATTTTCAAACTGCCATATCTCCTTAGAAAATGAATGGATTTTCAATCGGAATGCAGTGCTTGGAAGATGCCATCTTTTTGTTCAAGATTCCCCGTTCAAAACTCGTCGGGAGTTTCTCTGTCATTATACAACAAAGTGTTCGAACAAAATATCACAAAAATGAGAGAATTCAAATGCTTCCGTATTCCAGGGAATTTCTTTTATTTTTCTATTAATAATTTTTTTCGAACGTTCAAGTCAATATCTCGAAACAGTTTTGAAATTTTCCATATTCCTCATATAGGATGTTCAAAATCAATGATTTTTCATTTTCAGGTTTTTATTGCAACATTTCCGATTTTAAAATCATGCAAGCCACATTCAAAGCATTTTGCCACTCTATACGATGGAACACATCCTAGAAAATGGATTCATATTGCGTTGAAATCATCGACAATTTAACAAAAGATGAAATGATTTTTTTGGAGAAATGTTCAGAATTTGATGAAATCGTCTGTTCAGTCTGGTGCTGCCATAGCCACACGCAATATGAATCCATTTTCTAGGATGTGTTCCATCGTATAGAGTGGCAAAATGCTTCGATTGTGGCTTGCATGATTTTAAAACCGGAAATGTTGCGATGAAAACCTGAAAATGAAAAATTATCGATTTTGAACATCCTGTATGAGGAATATGGAAAATTTCAAAACCGTTTCGAGATATTGACTTGAACGTTAGAAAAAAATGATTAATAGAAAAATAAAATGATTTCCCTGGCATACGGAAGCATTCGAATTCTCTTATTTTTGTGATATTTCTTTCGAACACTTGGTATATATTTATATTTATTGAGGACATAATTATCATTAGTGCCGAGTGATCTATTCTCAATTAGATCACGGTGTTCATTATTTTTTATAGTTTATTTAATTTATTCAGTCAATTTTTCTGTATATTTTCCTGTATATTATGTAGTATGTATTGTATATATCGTTTTTCTTTATATTTACTCATTATGTTATGTTCTATTGTAATTATTCAGGCAGAATTGAAAAATGGCTTTGCCAATATTCTGTCCTTTTGGAGTAGTAAGACCATAATATATTATTTCGTCATGAACTTGTTATACATATTGGGTATTACTTCAATAAACATTATTATTATTATTATTATTATTATTATTATTATATAATGACAGAGAAACTCCCGACGAGTTTTGAACGGGGAATCTTGAACAGAAAGATGGCATCTTCCAAGCACTGCATTCCGATTGAAGATCCATTCATTTTCTAAGGAGATATGGCAGTTTGAAAATTGTTGAATATTTCAGTGGTCCACTTGTTTTTTTGAGCACTTTATTTAGTATTTTACAATGATAGCCCAGTCACCTTAGGAAAAATAGCGGGAATCGGAGCCAAAGTTTTGAAAATTGGTGTACGTGTTCCTTTAAGCATTACATCTTACCAAAGAAAAGTCACCACCCGTACCTGTAGAGCTCGCGCCGTCATCTTTGAAAATAGGTGCAATATTTCAGTTTTTCACGTATATCTCGGTAACTGTCAACTTTATCGCGATGAAGGTGTTGAGGTAAAAGAAAGCTAACAAAATTTCTCGTAAGAAAATATCTATCAATTATTTCCGAAATATCCACGGTTTTGGACTTATGTCGCCACAACGATTTAGCAAAATATGAAATTCTACTGCAAACCGACTGGACAAACTATAATTCAGTTATATACGCTCCTGGTGACATGCAAAAAAGCATTTATAGCTATAATTTATGCTGTGATGTTCAGAGAACATCGTGAGGACCAAGGGAAATAAGGTAGGGATTGGTGTTCTTAAATTTCTGGAGAATGAAGCATGTCATCTTCGTCATTTGAGAATACATGCATCGAGTCGGGTTCGTTCGTCTTCATTACTTATAAGGGATGAAACGGGAAAAAACGATACCGTGCATCCTTCCTCCGCAATTGCAAGAAATTATCTGGAGCAAAGAATCTGGAGCAGCAGGTGGGGTAGTTGGCACAGGTACCAGACCAACAGCACCATCCTCTACCATCCCCAAAGCTCAGGACATTTTTGATTACCCAACCACTTCTGTACCTGGTGATTGACTCTGAAGGAGTGCTGCCTCAAAGCTGCTTCCGTCGGTGGCAGAGAAGCCAGATCTACTTTCTTGTTGGTAGTAGATTTAGCGAACATATTGTACCGGAGCTTGTTCAATGATGTTTCCGTTGTATGGGCACCAAACAGAGCTATAGAACGAATCGTTCACCAGCTGCAGATACTTCTTCACTCATAGCTTCCGGGTTGTTGAAAGTCTTCGCAACTTCTCGTATAATGATGGCTGGTCCTTCATGAGTTTGAAGCATTTCGATTTTCCTTTTCTGAAGAAACATGATGTGGTATCACAACATCCGAAGGCATGTATAAGAATAGGATAGTGCTCTGTAATTTAGTACTGGTTTGCAGTTCGCGGGAACAGTACCTTTTTGCCTCCACATTGCCTCTTTTTGGTTTGACAAAATAAATGTTGCGTTCTGCTGGAGCCAAAGCAATGGGTGGAATAAGTAGATCTACATCTTCTCCAACAACGGTGACTTGGGTAGAGGAAGACATTTCAATAGATGTCTGTATTATTAGCGACTCCGCATTGTCCACTGCTTGCTTTGTGTCTGGAACCCTTCGTTTTTTGTATCTGTATGAAGTTCAGCTATTTTTGCATGAATGGTGAAAGCAATAAATTTATTTCAATATTCATTCAAGATATCTCAGAATTATTTCAAATCTAATTCGATTGAGGTTATGTAGGTAAAACCTGAATATGTGGCAACACTGGTATTCTGTAATGGCCGATCTCTGTTGCGAGGATACTCGAATGTGGCGCCGACTCTCTCAGTTACTTGTAGATGGAATATATGTATATCAGAATAATTATGAGTAAGTTTCTCAAATATCGCATATTGTTTTACGATTTACTGATGAATCATGCACTGAACGAATATTTATGTTGGGACCTTTTTTTTTCTAAATTCAATTACCTTCATTTTACCTAAGCATATTGATCTCGATAAAGTCAACAGATATTGAGATATAACCGAATAACTGAAAAAGTGTACACATTTTTCAAGATGATGGAGTTAGCTCTACAGGTACAGCTGTTGACTTTTTTTAGTTGAAAGTCATGCCTAAGGGAACATGTACACCAATTTTTAAAACTTTGGGTTCGATTCCCGCTATTCGTCGAATTTGATACTAAGGTGATTGGGCTATGATATTATGGTTCTTTTCTGATTTTCATTGTAGAAGAAAACTTATTCAAAGCTTATTAAAAGTTTGATTGATCGATTGATTGATAAGTACCTGAAGTGCCCTGACGACGGCCTCGGGGCGGCCCGTGAGCACCGCGGCGGCGGGGTCCGACTGGAGGACGGCCGGGGCGGCGGGGTCGGCCGCCCCGGCCGCCAGCTGCCCGATCTGATGCGTCAACGCGCGCTTGTCGTCCTCCAGCTGCTTGACGCGCTGCTCCAAGCTGCGCACGTACTGCATGATTTGGTCTGAAAAGAAGGGGAATATCAGTCCAAAAGAACCCCAAAAAAGGTTGAATAGATGAAAAAATCATGGTTGAAGGTCTTTTTTTTAAATTGTTCTTGAATATATTGAGAATCACGGCCTCTAGCGTGAAAATGTAGGTATACCAATACAGATCGAGAAGTGCACAAGAAACGGCCAAGATTGTAACTTTTAAATTATTCTAGATAGGATTTTGAAAATTGGTGGGTAGCAAGTATACCAAATTGCTCATTAATTGATGAAACAATTTTTCTTCTATCACTTCCAGTTTCACTGGAAACGACCCCAACTACTGATTTTTAAATGGGACACCCTGTATTGTATCCCATGACGAATTCAACGATACCGGGTTTGATAGGGTTATTTCGAACGATTACAAAGATATTTGCGATTAAAGTTTCCATATGCTCAATTGGTGTGACTTCGCAATATCAAAACTCCTTTCTCTGTCACACTCGTTGAGCATATGGAAACTTAGAACGCGAATATCTGCGTAATCGTTTGAAATAATCTTATCAAACCCGGTATCGATGAATTCGTTATGACAATCCCTAACCGATTATGGAATACAATACAGGGTGTCCCATTTAAATATCAAAAGTTGGGGTCGTTTCCAGTAAAACCGAAAGTGATATAACAAAAATTGTTTCGCCAATTATTGAGCAATTTGATATACTAGCTGCCCACCAATTTTCAAAACCATAAATCTCGAATAATAAATGTCACAGTCCTGACCGTTTTTTGTGCACTTCTCTGTATATACAACATCGAACAACATGAAATTCCCTAGTGCGTCAACGCGCGAGTAATGTCATCTAACGTCACAAGTCACAACATGGCGCGCTCATCGTTTTTATCAGCTGATCGGGGGACGAACAAAGCTGTGTGGAACTTTGATTTGATCCTTTCTTGTAGATATTATACGCGAAAATGTGAATACCGAGGTGAATACCTTCTTGCAAACTGAGTGTCTCTATTGAGGGATATTAAACTTTATTATTATTATTATTATTATTAAAGTTTGCGTATCGAGGGCATCTGGCCCGAGGGACAGCAATGGGGGAGACCACTGATTTTTTTAAACCACATTATCGTTAACTCTATACTGGAAAACTGCCAGTGAATTGATTTTGAATTTTTTCATTCATGCTAAGACGATGAAAAAAATTAATTAGAATATGTCCAGTTCAAAACACACATTTCCTGTACCATTCGAAATTTTGTCAATTCATTGGTGTGACTGGTGCGACGTCTTAGTCCCAACACGCCTATCGTCCTTGAAATGACCAATCACACTGCAACACTGCAGAATGACGAGGTATCAGAGAGAGATAGCTACAGTGGGGGACTAATACGTCACGGCTCTACCATCACATTTGGCTTTTTGAAATATCGAATGAAATATGCTGATTTCAAAACGATATTGATTCGATTCCCTTCAACTTCAACTCATAATATTGATTCTTCATAAAACGTAAAACATGATTCGTCGTTTGAAATGGGTTTGAACAGATTTCTTCCCTCAGTGGTCTTCCCCATTGCCTTGGATTCCTGTGATACATAAATAATTTTACGAGGGGGATGTACTTTGTTTAGATGTACCCTGGGATGTATACTTGAACTTCGCCGAAAAAACGAGCGAAAAAATTAATCTCGTGAAATCAGTGTACTTAAAATCCTAAAGTCCTAAAGCTAAACTTGAATTATCCACACTGAGTGACATTTCCTCGGAGTTTTCCAAACGGACATGACAGCACTTGCACAATGTCTATGATTATTTTTTTTACATGTCAAAATGTGACGTTTTCCTTGTTTCAACCAATATCAATGCGTGATTCTAGCCAATCATTCGGAATCATACTGATAATTTGTTAGTATCAAATTACCGCGATGACTTATTCACGTTTGGATCTTCCTTCAAATGGATACAAAAAGGGACCCATAGACTGCGATGTTGATAGGCTGTTTTGTTCGACTAACAAGTCTGTTCGAACAAAAATTGCGCACAACCGAAGTGTGTGGCTGTAAAATGTTCGTTTTCGCTGGCCACACACTTTAGTTTTGTGTCTTTTTTGTTCGAACAGACTTGTTCGACGAACAAAACGGCCTACCAACAACGCAGTCTATGGGGCACCTTTAGAGAATTAGCATTGACTTGACTTGGTTGTCAAGGTAACGCAGCTATTTGTCTCAATGTAAACATTTCGAATTCAGAACCGACGCCATTGTTAAGTATCAGTCAGACTTCGTATTTTGTGATTTTCTCTAACGTTTAAACGAGTTGGTATAGGTTCGGAAAAACTTTACAATTATTATTAGTCATTAACAGAAACCGACATGAGCACGAGATTTGGTCAAAGCTCGGCTGATTCAATACATTTAGCTGTCGAACAAGCAACACCAATCAACACCACAAAAAGCAAGAATACGATATGGAAACAGTTTTTGGAGTTCTGCCTTGAACGTAATTATGAGTTGACTGCAACAACCGAGATGAAACAAATCGCATCAATTATGGAGGACTGGGCATATAACATGCGAAAAAAAAATGGAGAAAACTACAAAGAATCTGTTGTCAAAACTTTGTGGAATGTCACCGCAAAACTTATCCAGGAAAAATATTTCAGGGAGTATAATAGAAACATTGATCCGTTCACTGATATTGAATTTAAGACCGCGCGAGATGCGCGGAATTGCAAACGTCGAGAACTTCAACATATTCCTGAAAAAAGAAAAGCATCTTCTGTTGCTCTCAAGAAAGAAGAAATAGAAAAAATGATAGCAGCATGGGACGAAAATACTCCAAATGGCTTACAAAGGAAGTTTTATCATACTGCTAGCTACGAATTGGCTTGGAGAGGCGGAGAAGCGACAAAAGCATTAGTACAGTATTTTAGAGAAGAAATGGATCATTATGGAAATCAAACTGGAAGGATAGAATATAATCCAATAATTTCTAAAACAGCACAAGGAGGATCGCACAGGTTATCTGATAGCAAATTTTTAACGCCAAATGAAAATGAGACTGAAAAATGTCCAGTACGTCTCTTTCGGAAGTTAATGTCGAAAAGAAGTGCAAATATTCAAATTGATCGTTTATTTTTAACACCTAATCCAAATTGGCAGCAACCTTTGTCTAAGGGGTGGTACAAAAATCTTCCGGTAGGACAAAATGAAATAGCAAAATGGACAAAACAAGCGGCCCGAAAGATTGGCTTGGATCCTAGCAAAATCAAGGTTACAAACCATTCACATCGTTCTTCTGCTGTGACACAACTCGCTAAAAGTGGAGTAAGTGAGCAGCAGTTGTTGAAGATAACTGGACATTCATCTGCAAGCTCCATCAAACCCTATCTTCAACTTGACAAAGAGCATCACGCAAGCATGATAAACAACTTGAGAGGAAACACTGTTTCGACCTCTTCATCTCAAGGAAATTGTACAATAACATACAATAATTGCACCATTACAAACGTAAATTGTAAACATTCTTGATTGTTTGATATATAATTATTTGATATATAATTGTTTGATATATAATTGTTTGATATATAATTGTTTGATATATAATTGTATGATAAATGATTGTTCAATAAATAATTGTTTAATAAACATATTCTGGGGCATTTTGCGAAATAGTAAAAAAAATAATCACGCCGAATTACATTCGTGTTGGTTATTTTTTTAAATAATTTTAACTAGATTTAGCACTCGTCTTTGTTGCTATTGAGAAATCCCACTCGTGGACTTCGTCCACTCGTGAAATTTCTATAGCAACAAAGATTCGTGCATCTAGTTAAAATTATCAAAAAATTACCACCACTTGTGTAATTACTGTTGATAGTTTTAGCTAGTGACGTAAGCACATTCTACTGAGCAGTAGCGTACCTAATTGCTAAACGACAACAATGACTCATCAAATTCATCATCAGTGATAAGCTATATACTCTCGGCTTCGGCTATACTGGAGTGATAGTGATTAATTGGAATTCATTTACTCCACTTGAATCATTAGAGAACTAAATTAATTTTTGCAACACTTCTTACGCGTTTTTGATCTGCCCCTATACTTACGAAATCGTGACGTAAGTTTTTTTATTTCTTACAGCACACGAAAGGAAATTCCTATAATGTTTGAAGAACATCGTGAGTACCTATAGGGAAGATTGACGAGTAAGTAACCTCACTACTTTTACTAATTTCTAAATTCATATTTAACATCTTCCAATTTTATGATGATGTATTTTCCAATAGCTACAAGTTGATTCACTTTCACTAATTTTGAAATTTAAATTTAACGTTTTTCAAAAAAATAAATTTCAATAATATGTTTTTCAATTTTCCCTGGGGTCTATCTCAATAGCCAAAAGCTGATTATTTGGGTATTTACGGTATGCATTGATGATGACTCGAAAGCGCTCTGCTGAGAAAAATTTTAATAAAATTTATCTTGCATGAAATACAATTTTTTGTACTATTTACTATATCTACACGTGCACACAGCTTGTATATTGCATCATGGAGCAGGAGTCTTTGGTCCTCGCACCAAATACTTCGAATCCATGGGACAATTTTCCAGCATTTTTCAAGCGGAAATACACGTCATAGGAAGATGCATCCAGTTCAACCTAGACAGGAAATACCGGAAGAAGGATATCGCGATTGTATCCGATAGCCAAGCAGCCATCAAAGCGATGAGCTTTTCTAACATCAACTCAAAGATGGTATGGGAATGCCTAAGCAAATTGAATGAGCTAGGCAGTAACAATAAAGTAATCCTCTTCTGGGTGCCAGGGCATATCGGAGTGGAGGGGAATGAACAAGCAGACACTCTGGCACGACAAGGGGCCTCAACGCCACTGATCGGACCAGAGCCATTCTGCGGCCTTGGAAATTCCTATTTCCAAGGAGAACTTGAAAAGGCGGAAGGAGCCTTGAGAGCCAGGCAATGGAGAAGACTTCCAGGACTGCGGCAGGCTAAAGA